ATAGATAGGTGTACATTTTAAGTGCCTCTAAAGCGGATGTCAGAAAAAATAGCACGGAAACTATATAGGTATAGGGATTATCAAGTCTATTATTGTCATGACCAAAAAGTTAGATTCAAAAGTCATCTGCGCCCAGTATAAAAATGTATCCTATTTATAAAGCATAAATATAATCGATAATTGACTTCTCACGTCTGTCTACCATGTCTGTTATCTTGGCTAAGGATAGTGCTCCAACACAAGCTCCAACTTCATCTTTACGAGCTTGACTGCTTCACAGAAGAGAGAGACGAAATTCATCAAGTGTGGGAGTCATACTTCGGTACGAATGGGTCAGCTTGACCAGAGTAATAACAGGGCCGCACAGAAACCCAGCGTGAAACGACCGAACGAACGAGCGTTGTGTTTCGCCGTTTGGTGGTGTTAACGGAGGCCTCATCTTTCCCCTTCCCAAATCCCTAAATCTCCAAATCCCTAATCCCTAAAAGGTCGGCAACGCACTCGTAACTCCTTTGGTGTTGCGGGTGTCCATGGGCGGCGCTGATTGCTTACCATCAGGTAATCTGTGTTATTGTCCGACCTATTATATAAAAAAAATCCACAGCGTTGTGTTTTGCCGGGTAAGTGAGGTTACCGGAGAACCAATCCCGCCTCCCCCCATCCCTTTCCAGTCCTTAAATATCCAATACCCTTATCCCTAAAAGGCCGGCAACGCACTCGTAACTCCTCTTTTGCGGGTGTCCCTGGGCGGCGCTGATTGCTTACCACCAGGTACTCCGTTTACTTGTTTGCCGACCTATACCATAAAAAAATCTACGATATTGGATTGCATAATATTCATACTAATCTATTTGCAATCTTGATGAGCAATTCCTCATTAGAAGTGAGCCGCCATGTTGAGGCTATCGTCAGGTCAATAAGTGCGAGCACATCAATAGTACCGCTATCTCTAATAGATAAGATATCGCTAAATGAATTAAACTGACCGCGTGGGTGGACTTGCCTTATTTAACCTTGCATTATGTTAGTTAACATTTATATTGTTATTCTATGGTCTAAAACCCTTATTTGAAGTTTGAGAAAAACACCAAGTCTTCTGCCTTTCTGATAACAATGAGACGGGGTATAATATTTAGTTTTAGAGCTGATTTTTCAATAGTCAGATTATATGAGGAATAAAATTGTTGCTGTCACTGTCTTATACAAATACTCTGAAGCGACGGCATCACGTCAATCGATATCTTTCCTCTTATCTCTGTTCAAGATGCGTCTTTCAAGCACCCAACTTTCACTGCTAGACAAATAGCAATCTATTTAATCTCTTAGTCTTTGAATATAACATGTCCTTGATCCTTAACTACCTATGTACTCAAATATACCTTTTATATTAATACTAGCTATTCTCGCGCCGCTGCCGTTTCACCCGTTGATCAGTTCAATTTGATCGTAGCATGATGTTTTATAATCTATAGCAGTAAGGAAAATTGTAGCTATCTATCAGTGGAAGAATTTTGGCAATCTGACCAGCGGTTCCAAAGATTACTCCCTACATACAGACTTACAATCTTACAAATTTCACCTCTTAGTATAGACTAGCTACTTCTGCGCGGTTTGACTCGCTGCTCGGCTCCATTTGATTTTAGCGTGATGTTTTATAGCCTATAGCACGCGGGAACATTGTAGCTAATAATAAATGAAAGAATTTTGGGAATCGGATCAGTAATTCTAAAGATTACCCCCTACAAACAAACTTAGAAATTTGACCTCTTTATAATATTAGTATAGAAGTATAGATAAAATAGCCAAACGGCACCAGAAAACCCAACAAGAAATTCTTATATTCGTTCCCATTTCAGAAAATGTCGGCAAATCTTATTCGTGTGTCCCTAGAATTGAATTAACATGGGAATGATCCATTCCTTCTCCATTAGAACTATGCAAATCGTCTCCTTTGAGTGACGTCACGGTTTCAACAAATGTGGATATAAATGATAGCTCGTTTGCTGAACCGGGAATGCACGGAACATAAATATCTTAAAGCATAAATATGTAGGTTATGGGCTAGATGCATGAAATTAAAGAAATGTTATTGCTTTTAAAACATTTTAAATATAATTCATTTTGTTGTTTGTTTCGTTCCGAGTGAAGGAAAATGGGTATTATTTGAAAGATTGAGAATCATTATCATTATCAAATAACCTGCACATACCATGTCCTTACGACTTTTATCAAATTTAGATCAATTTTGTTTTTTTCCATATTAAATATGCTCTTGATCCTAATCTATATATAGTAGTATTATAAAGCTGAAGAGTTTGTTTGCTTGATTGAACGCACTAATCTCCAGAATTACTGATTCGCATCAAACAATTATTTTAGTGTTGGATAGTCTTCGATTTATGGTGAAAGACACAGATCAAACATCACGATACGATATGTATGAAATCCTAGGAACGAGAAAACCTATTATTAAAACTGATTCTTTTTATTATAACTTTCGTGAGACATTCTAAATTATTTATTATGTTTTCGGCTTACTCACGTAATAATTTGACGAGATACTCGACTAGTTTCAAGCCATGCTAGAAGCCCATATTCATATTTGTTCTTTTAGTCTGGTTGTGATGTTGCGCCACACATACGCAGAGTGAAAAACCGAGACACCCATACATCGGCGGTAGCTGAGCATGCTTGTAGTACGGGCACGGCTCACTTTCTCCGTTTCGACAAGGTCTCAGTACTAGCGAGGGAAAAATACTTCGTACCGCGGAAAGTACGTGAGGCCATCGAAATAAGCCGGCGTCCGAACTTCAACAGAGACGGTGGCTGGGCATTACCACCTGCCTGGAAGCCGAGTCTGAAATCTGCATTAGACTGCACTGTTGCGGGTCTGGAGTGTGACACAGTTAGCGCGGTATGTAACACTGTTTTTGCGTCGACCCGGGATTCGAACCCAACACCAACGCAGCTGCAGGCGGGCGAGTCTAGCGTGCCAACAGTGTCGCGCGCGCCTTCGCTGCCAACACCACGGATAGAAGAAAGTGCGCGTGAATCACGGCAGAGGGCGCGTTGGGCGCGCAGACTCGAGTAGCCAGTAGCAGCGCGACGGTCGCCGAGTCGCGTGTCGCGGAATGCTGCTCATGAATATGGGCCTCTAGCATGGCTTGAAACTAGTCGAGTATCTCGTCAAATTATTACGTGAGTAAGCCGAAAACATAATAAATAACTGATTCTTTGTTGGCGATTCGTATGTTTATAAAAAAAAGGCAGTCTTGTATCAAAACTGGAACATGACAGTGAGTTTCCTGTAAATCATCATTGTCTTTATATAATCCTTTAAAAAAAAAGTCAAGCAGGCATGACACAATATCATTATAATCCAACATAAAATTTCATTAGGTATCATAAATTCTACATCCAATTCATAAACGTTCCTTAATCAAATTAATACAATAAGGATCCAATTTATTTTTAAAAGCAATCACAAATTGACCTGCCCTGTCATTGGAGGATATTCCCGATGAAAAAATAATATTATAAAAGTAAATAACTGAGTTTAAGAAACTAATCCATATTGCTAGGACTTAGAGTACACATCAATTTTTTTTTTTTTTTTTTTGTCAAGTAAGTAGTTTTTTTTCTGTAAATCATTCTACGACTTTCTCTCGCCAAGAGTAAAGCGACAAAAAGGGCCAGGGTAAAACAACCCCGTCCCTTCTCCTGCATCTGGTTGAAGCCGTGGTACCTGGGTGATTCTCCAAAAAACCTTAACTTTTATTTAACAAGTCATTATCCTCCCAGGTTATTAAGCATCTTAATAATTTATTTTATACAATATTTTTAATCGGTTGCTTGTAAGCAGTGGTGAGATTTAATTTAATAAAATAATTATCTGTGTTTTAATCAGCAGACTCGTTAATTTTCGGTTGAGGATAATGACATTATTAATTTTTTTTTAATTGATGTGAAGAATCACCCACCTACCCTACCCGGGGCTGAACATCAGTCCTATTGGCCCCTATCCGTGGTGTCTGAAAATTAGTTAAATAAATAATCGAATAGAGCTCTTTCATGAGTGGTCGTTTCTAAAAAACCATTTACAAATAATTTATTACCATATTAGATGCTAGCTACTCTCGCGCGGTTTTACCCGCTGCTCCATTTGATCATAGCGTGATGTTTTATAACCTATTGTAGCTATCTATCAGTGAAAGAATTTTGGAAATCCGACCAGTGATTCCAAAGATACCCTTCCCTACATACAAACTAACAAACATTCAAACTTACATATTTTACTTCTTTATAATATAATATAGAAGTATAGATAAATACTAGACTTTCGGTGGTATTGGTGGCCCGAAGGCTAAGGAACCCGCTTCCCATGCAAGAGGGCGTGAGTTCGAAACCTGGCACCAATGTGACTTTTTCTAAATTATATTATGTACTTTCTATGATTATTTAGACACCACTGACATACGGCGAAGGCAAACATCTTGAGGAATCCTGGACTTATAATTTCTAATTATGAGTTTGAAATCGCCAACCCGCATTGAGCAAGCGTGGTGATTAATGCTCAATGCTCGTGTGAGAAGAGGCCTTTGCTCAGCAGTGGACACTTACAGGCTGTTGATTTGTGATGTGTGATTAGACTTTCGAAAAACCTATAATAAAATATATTCATGATTATTTTATTTAAATCAAGTATTCTATATTCAGAAGTTGGAAAAGTGACCCAGTCATCTTCTCAACTCCATGTTAGTAAAGCCACAGGCGGAATCCCAGTAAATAACAATATTATTTGTTTACTGTATAGCTACTGAATTATTTTAGGTTGTAGTTATTCGATGGAGTCACGAAATGTTCAACATAAACGCAAGTAGTCGAGTTAATGTGACATAAAACTTCACCTCAACGTAATACAGGTTTATGGTTGACAATTTCTTAGTGATTAAAGTAAATTTTTGTTTGTTATGCATTTAGTATGTTATTTTAAGTGTAGGATGGCCATGCTTCGGCACGAATGGGTCGGCTCAACCGGAGTACCACGGCCTCACAGAAAACCGGCGTGAAACAACCACAGCGTTGTGTCTCGCCGGGTGAGAGAGGTTACCGAAGGCCCGATCCTTCCCCTGCCCCAATACCTCCTCATTTCCAAGATCTCCAAATCCATAATCTCTAAAATACAAATAAGTTAGAAATCCGTGCACCTCATTTCCAAGATCTCCAAATCCCTAATCTCTAAAATACAAATAAGTTAGAAATCCGTGCAATGTATAAACTGCTTTCTAACAATTCTTTACTTATATTGTTTTTGGTACCCAGACGCAAACCATCGTACACCATGGATGACCGGACGGTGGACCTGATCTTCAGCGGCTCCCTGAAGTCGCTGCCACCAGTCAGCTCGAAGATCGTGAGGATATTCACCAGTTCCACCTTCACAGGTAAGGAAAATGTAACAATTGTTGAGAGTCGTACAAGTAAAAAAAGGATAAGCGCATTATTGTAGGTAATCAGGATAATGATGACAATTTTTCACATCACAAAGCTCTACATCAGCCTTTTCTTTCACGAAGAAGGATTAACCATTAATCGCCACATTAGCTCAAGGCGGATTAGTGATTTCAATTTATAATTTGATTTTAAGCGGACACTTTTTACAAATGGAGACAGTTTTGACGACCTACCCTCAATAACATCCGGGCCACTACGACATTCAAAGCCCAAACACACTCTAAAATTCAGAAATTCCCAAATATCCGATCCACAATGTCCATCCTTTTAAGACGACAATTTTAAAAATACTCTTCCTGCACAATAAAATTCAGAATGTACAACAGTATTACGTTTGCGCCAGTCCTTACTTCAGGTTGTGCTTATAAATAACTATTCTTGGTAACAAGTTTACTCTCAGAAGTTATTGCACCGTCGTCTGAATTATTTCAGGCATATTTACAGCAGCTTACGTTTCAGGATGCCTTTTAAACCGTTTCAGTGCTCCTCTGAAACGTTTTGAAGATCTATGAGCTATTGATCAGAATTTTATAGCGATTTTGAGTCGATAGAAAGTCAACAAGTTTGTAGTTTTTTTTCCATATTGATTTTTTGACACGATTACTCGGCGCAGATTTCTGGTAGGATAATAGTATTGGTGTCTCATAATTAAAAACATAGGAAGAAGAAGAACATTTTGAACAATCTAGATTCTAATAACACCCTGAGGACACGGTGGAGTATATGGTGGCGGTGGGCCATGCTTGAGTGAGCTCCGCCGTGACCTTAGGGAAGTGATTGGCAGCGGCTACCTCTCGCGCCCAGCCTTAGTTGAGGCTATGGTGCGTAGTGATAACTGGGAAGCCATTTCCTCTTTCTGTGAATCATGCACTTATGCTCGCAAAGAAGGTGGTGGACCGCGTGAAAGAGCTATCCTCCTCCTCACGCCGATAGGCGACACTTCGGATCGAGAGACGATCTCCGGCATCCGTAAACGTGGGTCTGCGGACGGCGAGGAAGGGTCTTGTCGCCATCAGATAATCTGTCTCGTTTACCTATTCCATAAAAAAATATGTATTGTATCAACGATTTAATTACCAGCCTATAAGAATCCAGTGCCAAGTAAAGGCATCTTCTTACACGTTGAAGGTATGAGTTTTACGCATTAATCACCAAAACTAGCTCAATGCGGATTGGTGATTTTTAACTTTTACCGTCTATCATAAAAATTGCGGTTTACTTGTGTATATTTCAAGGCTTTAACATTCTAGGAAAGCTAAAAATAGACTTGATTTGATAAAATTCAGTGCTTCGTGAGTGAATGCAATTTTAAAACCAGCTCTTTCAAGTGGGGTTGGTGGAGGTGGGGGCTAAAGTGTTGGCGCAGTCAGCTTTAATCCACTTCTTTTATTCAAAACCTTGAGTTATTTATTCGTGTAGCTATGACTTGTTCGGTGAATAGGTTATGAGGACAATTTTTATTTAAAAAAAAATATGAAGGCGGTAGAATATGTGAAAACCTTACTATTTTTCAGAACCCTTCAAAGAGTATGCCTTACCATACACTATAGTAAGTAGACTGTTTAAAAAAAAATGACTTCATTTCTTCTTCACGCTTTACGTGTAGCGTATAGTGCGGTCTCAAAGAGCTAACAGACCACCATAGATAGGGGGCCCAAAGAGCTGATGTTCAGCTGGGGTTGCGTGACTAGCGCATTAAGGTACCGCAGCCTCGGCCTAAAACAAGAGAATTAATGGGATGATTTTAAAACTGCAGAACGGATCTAAATTAAATTTAGTCATAAATACAACATAATAGTCATCGATTTAAATTATACGATTATCATTCTTTTATCAAACAAACAACAAACATCGTAAGGCAACCTGGGCTTATAATTTCTAAAACTTGTGGAAGTGTGGAATCACCAATCCCTCTTGAGCAAGCGTAGTGATTACTGCTCAAACCTTCTCCATGTGTCGAAGAGGCCTTTGCTCAATAGTGGGCACGTACCTATGGACTGATGGTGTGTAAAATCGAAAAGAAAAATAATATTTTTTTACATACATTAATAAAATCTAGGTCCTGTTGTACCTTGTAAAGGACAGGCAATCGCTAAATTGAATCCACTTAGTTGTTATAATCAGGCCCACGTTTTTTATCAGTACTACCTAAAGGTTCATATAGCCGAATTATACAAAATCATTTTCCTTTATTTCCATCAATGGATATACATAATTATATTCAAAAAGAAAACTTAATATTAACTTTCCAAAGTAATCTAGAAGATATAATTTATTTTATCGGAATTTCTCGATTTCCGATACTTTAGCGAATCGTGTTCGTGTTCAGATGCAATTTTAAACACATCTTCGGGGGGAAGGGGAGATAGGGGGGGGGGGGGGGGTGTTTGGGGGGAGAGTTTTAAATGAACAACTTTTAATTAACGCTGAATCATCAGATAGCAGCATTGTGATCGGTTTTCGTAAAATTAAATTTTACTTGACCTAGTTACAGTGTGGTTTTAAAGATGAAAAAGTGCATTGATTTTTTTTTTGTTCGTTTACCTTAACAATCTTAAGAGTTTTAAGTTAGAAGTTGTCTTATCGGACTAAGTTTTAATAGGGTTTAGTTCTTATTATATTATATTCGTATTTCGTTTATCCTGCCTAGAATTGCTATAAAAACTAATAATATTCTTTCTTATAGATATGTATCTTGATATTGATAAAAGCGTTTTTGAAAACAAGTCTAGGGTCTAGATCTTGTTCAGTATAAAATGTAGGACCAATCTAAGTAATAATTCAAAAATCATTCATTCTAACTAAACCATAAGCAGGTACTTTTGTACCGTCAAAATAGAATAATAGTCTGTCAGTCTGTGGGTCAGCGAAGCTTGTGACTCAATGTATCATCACTGATTGTAAAATATTTGTATAAAAAATATCTTAAGTTCGAAGGTAACAATATTTAACAAGGAATGCATTGACACAACAGAAATAACAATTTAATTGCCAATACCTTAGAACTCATAATCGACAAACACCCATAAATAAACTTCAAACAGTTCTGAATAGGTTTACAAACTTAACAACATTTGTTCTGCTTTCGGAACAGGTGTACAATGGCCAGGTAGATACTAGGCAGTACAAAGTACCAAAGTACTGCATTACTCCAGTCGAGTTGTCACCAACACACCACGAGTGGCGTGCGAAACTCGAAATTTGCACGTACGTTTGTTGGATAAATTGAGAATTTCGTTTCTTTACTTAAACCAAAATCAAATTAAAAGCATTTATTCGCGTCTATGACGCATGTATATAATACATAAAGCAGAAGTGAATAAAAATAAACAATCCCAAAAAACATGGTAAAAAATAAGGTAAGAGAAAAATATGCGTCACAAGCACTTGTAATGGCCCTCGCTCAGCATATGCAGCGGACCTCTAAGCGAGATAGTGTCGCGGCTGTCATTGGCGATATTTTAAAATAAACAACCTTGACTTCGTCAAGAAAAAGGGTAATATAATCCTTCTTTGCGTGGTTCTGCGGCCGACGAGCAAGGGTAGTTAACCTCCTGACCAGATACAGACCCAAGCGTACAGTACAGCGGTACAGCGCATAGCACGCTCGCACACCTCAAAGAGCACAACAGACGGAAGCCAACAGGGCCCATGGTCAACTAGGTTTGTGGGGCAAGCGCAATAAGGCACCACGGCCTCAGTCTGGAGCAGAATAAGGAACGGGGAGATTTTTACACACACTCCCTCTCGCCAAACCCTAGACGAGAGAATGAATTCGATGCTTATCACTCTTAAAAAAATCCTTCTTTAAAAGTCGCCAAAACGAGTGTACTATGCTACCAATATTACAGCTACACAACCGCTTTACAGCTTAACTTCACGGTAACCTAAATATATTCATCTAAATCTAACAACTCATAAATAAAACGGACGATTATTACAAATTCTAATCCAATAACAATCCGTTCACTTTCATCTGCTTTAGAATTCTCAAAACCCATAATCTTAAGTTCCCAGAATAATTAAATATGAAATTCTGACGCAGTATCACCACGGCGTTTGTGCGAAACCGACCTAATTCCATAACGGACTGCGTCAACCGACTGCATAGCACGTAGCGACGGATCATTGAGATAAATTTTGACTAGATAGTGTATACATATAGAATTTATGACTGGTCTAAAGTTACAGTACAAAAAATGGTTAAGTTAATTTTAAACGCTATTAAGTGTGGGACAAGCTTTGGCACGAATAGGCCGGCTTGACCGGAGTGAAACCACGGCCTCACAGAAAACCGACGTGAAGCAACACTTAGGTGGAATGAGTGAGGTTACCGAAGGCCCAATCCTTCCCCCCATCCTCAATCCTTAAGGATTGGGCATTAGACAGATTACCTGATGGTAAGCAATCAACGACGCCCATGGACATTTGCAACGGAGGAGTTACGAGTGCGTTGCCGACCTTTTAGGGATTAGGGATTTGGAGATTTAGGGATTGAGGAGGGATTGGGGGAGGAAAGGATTGGGCCTCAGGTAACCTCACTCACACGGCGAAACACAACGCTGTGGTTGTTTCACGTCGGTTTTCTGTGAGGCACGGATCTCCCACACTTTCTTTCTTTCTAAAAAATTACACACATCTAGTTCATTTTACATCTTAGTACACACTAGTGCGGAACAAGCGGCTGTTATTACTAGCGCTACTAACTACGATTCGTGATTTTGTAAAACGTTTCAAACAATCCGTTTGTACATAGATACTTAATTAACTTGTCAAATGTTATTTTGTTAAAATATAGACTTTTTTTAACAAACCTTGATTAGAATAGCTGTTGAACTCACCAGGACCTAGCTTTGTATCACCCTTAGGAAGACTGGAAGAAAATACCTTCCGCATTACATTTAGTCCGCCATTGATTTTTTTTATGTAATAGGTCGGCAAATGACCAGACGAATTACCTGATGGTAAGCAGTCATCGCCGCCCATGGAGAGCGCCCGGCAACGGAGGAGTTACGAGTGCGTGGCCGACCGTTTAGGGATTAGGAATTTGGAGATTTAAGGATTGAAGCCGGATTGGGGAAAAGGAAGGATTGCGCCTCCGGTAACTTCACTCACACGGCGAAACACAAAGCTGTGGTGGTTTCACGCCGGTTTTCTGTGAGGCCGTGGTATCACTCCGGTCGAGCCGATCCATTCGTGCCGAAGCATAGCTCTCCCACACTTCAAAAATTGTGCAATTAGCATTTAAATAAATAAATAGAATCAACTCGATTTTTCTACAGCATTGTTTATGTTTATGTGCTTAAAAGAAAGCTCATGGGCGTGTCCATTTTGCCTATCCTCACCTACGGCACACAGACCTGGTCTTTGACAAAACATCAGAAGTCCACACTCAAGGTTTGCCAGCGAGCCATGGAGCGCAGCATCTTAGGAGTTCGATTAACGGACAAAATAAGGAATACCGTACTGCGCTCCAAAACTCAAATCGCTGATGTTGGTCAGAAAGCCGCAGCCTCAAGTGGAACTGGGCTGGACATGTTTGCCGCATTTCAGACGAGCGGTAGGCAAATTTTATTACTGAGTAAGCCCAAACAACGCTAACAGACACCAAGGCAGGCCCTGAAGGAGATGGCGGGACGGACTTTATGTCTTCGACGAGGATTGGCCGCAGAACGCTTTGTGTAGAGAGGAGTAAAAGAAGGGTATGGAGGCCTTTGCCCTGCAGTAAGACGATAACGGTTGATAATAATTGTCTGTGTTTAAAGACATAACGATTCTTATAGGTACTCAATACACTCGGATTCGAAAAAAGAATAAATGTTCTGTATAGAATATAACCATCCACCATCCCCAAAGCCCTTGACCACCCAAACCTCCAATCCCTAATTCCTAAAAGATCAGCATCCCACTTTTAACTCCTATAGTGCTTCTTTTACTTACCATCCGGGTATACGTTCGTTTCAGCCGGGGTTGCGGGGTAAGCGCAATGAGTCACCGCGGCCTCGGCCCAGAGCAGGAGAAGGAACGCGGGGTTTTAGTTAGTAAGAGTCCGACACTCTCTATCGCCTTACCCTGGGCGGGAGAAGGTATTTAATCATTTTCCCCTGACAAAAAAAAAGGTAATACGTTTGTTCGTTCGCCGCTGATGTCAGAAAAAACCGCATCAAAATCCGTAGCGTAGTTTTAAACATTTAAGCATTCATAGATAGGGAGGGACAGAAAAAGCGACTTCGTTTTATACTGTGTACTGATAACAACTACTTAATTCATAAGAATAAATTATTATTGTATTACAGTTTACTCTCGTGTATAAGTCTTTACTTTCAATGGGTACATTAATTTTGTTATCGCACATTCAGATGCATCAACATTGTGAGTGTAATGTTTTTTTAAATAAGTCCACGAAATTGATGAAATTGTGCAAGTGTGGGAGAGCCAAGCTTCGGTCAATGTCTCGAATGGGGCGGCTCGACCGGAGTCGTATCATGGCCTTACAGAAAACCGGCGTGAAACAACCACAGCGTTGTGTTTCGCTGTGTGAGTGAGGTTACCGGAGGCCCAATTCCTCCCCCTCCCCTATCTCTAAATATCCGCAATCCTTATTCCCGAAAGGCCGGCAACACACTCGTAACTCCTTTGGTGTTGCGAGTGCTTAGGGTGTCCAATGGCGGCACCGATTGCTTACCATCACGTAATCCGTCTGCTCATTTGCCGTCATCTATAATAATATTATAAAGCGGTAAAATTTGTAAGTTTGTATGTAGGGTAGTCTTTGGAACCGCTAGTCGGATTGCCAAAATTCTTTCACTTATAGATAGCTACAATGTTCTTGAGTGCTATATGCTATAAAACATCACGCTACGATCAAATGGAGACGCGTGAGAGTAGCTAGTTTTTCATAAAGAAACACAGGTAGAATATGTTGTAACACAAAGTCCGTGTCTTTGATTCCATAGAATTCAAGTTTGATATTAGTCGTAAACTGAATTTCCCCCTCGAGAAACACAGACACGATGTCATATTATGATAATGATGTTGTAGGGGAAAGTTTACAAGTAGCAACGGTAACGTAGTAAAATAAAGTATTATTGAACTGTAAGGTAGATTATAAAGACTGTTATCTATACCTCTATATATATATGTATATAAAAGAAAGTCGTGTTAGTTACTCCACTTATAAACTCAAGAAAGGCTGAACCGATTTGGCTGAAAATTCGTAGGGAGGTAGCTAAGAACTGGGAGAAGGACATAGGATAGAGTTGGTATTGTACGTTAGGTAGAGTAGGGTAGGTAGAGTAGAGTAGGTAGATTTGGGTAGGTAGAGTAGGTTAGGTAGTCAAACGATGATGATGATGGTGGTAGACGGGAGCGACGATGCGGGTAAGAGCTTGTTTGAATATACATTCATTTATTTATTTATATATTGAAACTTTTGCACAAACATTTGTGTACAAGATTGGACTTAATGGCACAAGCTAGAAAGCTTGAGCAGAGAACTGCCAGTCCAACGGTTGGGTCACGTGAAGGAGTATTTTCTTTATTTTGTAAAGGGAAAATCATCAAATGACTTCTCCCGCCCAGGATAAGGCGAAAGAGAGTGTCAGACTCGTACCGACTAAAAACCTCCCCGTTCCTTTTTCTGGTTTGGGCCGAGGCCGCAGTGCCACATTGCGCTTACCCCACAACCCCGGCTGAATATACCAAAATTATGACAGACACTATATCTTCAAAATTTTGTTTGACTTTCAAAAGTGCCTGTAAGGTTCTTATTTGAATAAATGATTTTGACTTGACTTTTTTTTATTTGTTATGTCGGCAAACATAAATAACAGAAACAACCTGATGATAGGCAATTGTCTTCCATGGACATCGCGACACCAGAGAGGCGTTCCAAGTGCGTTACCTGCATTAGAGGAATTCAAGGATTAGAGAGCAATGGGGAGATTGTTTCACGCCAGCTTTTACTACAATCGAGCAGACCAAATAATGATTTTCCCATTCTTTACGCGTGTTCGTCGATCGAAAGTACATCTATTGGTATATGTATGTTATAAAAATATATATTTTTGTTAATTTTCCAGATACAACAATGGAAAGAAATACCTTGATGGCGAAATGCTACCCTCGCATTAAGGATTACTGCCGCGAGAAGCACGGGCTTGAGTTTCAGGTAACAATAAGCCTTATTCCAATGTTATCTAGATAGTTTTTTCCGTAATTATGAATGTGCGTAGGTACCTTTTGTATAATAAGTATCGTGAAACATACAAAATTAGTTAAAAAAAACTACTTATTCTTGCAAACCATTTTAACTATCTCAGATAAACTCAACTTGTAATGCTAACCTCTAGGCCATCACAATATTCGACAAAAAACATTCATATCTAAAAGTTGCCCCACAATAGGATCTTCTCCTGTGTCGTGGGTGCGGTTACAAACATACAATTTCACATACACAACACCCAGACCCAGAACAACAATTTGTGGATCACACAAAGAGTTGTTCCGTGTGGGAATCGAAACCGCGACACGTTGTACGGCAGCCAGTTGCCCAGCCACCGCACCAACCGTGCAGTCAAATCAGCAACTTTCTTTACAATATAAAATAACTAGGATATTTTAGGTTTAACCTTAGTAGGTACTTATTGGAATATTAATAACATAAACATCTTATCCTTAAAAATATGTAAAACTCTAATGAGAAACTCTTTTTCCCGACACATATTATTATACTTACGTCCCTAATGGGGTAGTTTCCTAGATCAAAAATCAATTAATTCGACATTTCAATACAATACAATATTGAAAAATATCTATACTTTCATTCATCGATCGAGCGATATACTAAATTTTAGATATCTATTAACTAAGTATTAACAAGTAAGTTATTTGTCGCGCACGCAAATACTATGACGTCATAACTCAGTTTGTCAAACAAATTTCATAGAAAAGTATAGTTTTTAACATTTGGATAAAAGTTTTTAATTTTGCTAGTTGGAAAATAACGTATTTTTACAAAATTTTGAAAGCTACTACATAAAGTCAACGTCAAAATCATTTCTTCAATCATTGCAACTAAACTATAAATAGGTACTTTCGAAACGTCGAAATAGAAAAGTAGTCTGTCAGTCTGTTCGTCAGCGACGCTAGGTGCTCATTCCAAATTGTAGATTCGAATGGGGAAGAACGAGCAAGAAACTCCATCGATACTCTTAAAAAAAGAATTGTTTTACGATTTCAATAATATGTATAACATTTAGTATACATTATTGTACCCTTATGTGAGAACAATGCAGAGATAAGTTGTAAAAAAATAACAAATGATGGGATCTATCATATTATGAATATTGTACAGCACGTTATTTTCATGATTTATCTATCACATAGATTTATCATAATGGTGAAAAAGACTCCTTAATCCATATCAGCTGTCGCATAGCATTAAAAGTCGATCCTGATCTACTATTTCCAAGAACAATTCTTTCAGGATAAAAGAGTCAACATATTTTTATTATACAATTCCTAAGAAAGTCACAATAGGTTAAGAAAAAATGTCTATAGATTAAATATTGATGATTTCATAGAAAAAAATATTAGGTACTTAAATATTAAACATCGCTTTCACTACTATGTTTGACGCTTTGACGTGTAACATGTTGCTTGAAACGTTGCTTTACATCAGCCATTCGAGCCGAGGTTCAGGGTCAAGCGTTTGAATGTACCATGGCGTCGGCTTGGAGCAGGAGAAGGACCATTTTGACAGCACGATTTCCGCGGTGGCTGGGCAACTGGCTGCCGCGCAACGTGTCTCGTATTTGTTTCCCGCACGGAACAACTCTTTGTGTGATCCACAAATTTTGTTCCGAGTCTGGATGTTATATATGTATGTGAAATTGTACCTATGTTTAAATGCACCCACGACACAGGAGATAATCCTAAAGCGGGGGCCATTTAAAAAAAAACAATTTTTTTATGACAAAAAGGCAGCTACTAGCTGTAGCAAAACAACAAGACATTTCGGATGCTGTACTTACATTTATTCATTTGATTGATTGGGGCTACCGTAGACCGTCCACCTTTCTTTTGTCCGATAGGGTACTAACTAGTATCACAATTCTTCCCCACCCCTGGGGAATTTGTTGGCCTGATTGCTTACCATCAAGTAATCCATAGCATACGGATTTGCCAGACTAACACATAAAACCAAATATATACAATCGTCTGATGATCAAAAGGAGGTCCAATCCTTCCCCACCCCCAATCCCTCCTCAATCCCTAAATCTCCAAATCCCTAATCCCTAAAAGGTCGGCAACGCACTTGTAACTCCTCCGTAGCGGGTGTGCATGGGCGACGCTGATTACTTACCATCAGGTAATCCGTCTGCTCGTATGCCGATCTATTATATAAAAAAAGATAAAATAGGACCCCTCCTTTTCTTGCTACCCATCAGCTTGCAACGTTTTGCGATGTTACTGCAACGCCCTGTAACATTTTAAACGTCACGTGTTGCGTGTTAAACGTTGGTCAAGTGGAAAAGAGACTTTAATTTCACAATCTTCTATAAAAAATGGTCTCTTCCGAAATATTTTAATCGGTTCTTAATACCGGATTTAAATAGGATTTCGGAGATGTCGTGTTTATATTTACGCTTCAAGTGGACACAAGTGTGACTGGCACGCGTTCCCGGGTTCCAGGAATCACATCCCGTGTTGTGTAATGCGCTATATGGAATATCAAAGACATAAAGAAATAAAATATAGTTTCCCTTTCAACGAAAGTTTCATAACAGAAATCTATCCAAAATTTCTGCCAAAAACTTGAATTGTTCTAATATTCAAGGTTAGTAGACTTTTTGGACAATCGAGGCTAGCATGACAAAAATGTTATCCATTTTACGGTCACTAAGGCTTATATTAGCTTAAAATTATAAACCTGATTCATGTTTGAAAAGTTAGACGTGATGTGCAACAAATTCTAATAATCTACAAAATTATTCACATTCAAATAGACCCTTCTGAACTGAAGTTTTTTGCTACACTACACTCACACTTTTACAGTTTGAAATGAGCAAATAGTTTCACTAAAGGACAGGTCGACGACCACGTACGCGTTAACTTTTGAACTAATGCCTGGATTCAATGCAGGATGTGATTCAGCTGAGGTTGTTTGGTAAGCGCAATGAGGCACCGTGGCCTCGGCCTGAAGCATGAGAAGGAATGGGGGTTTTAGTTAGTAAGAGTCTGACACTCTCTCTCGCTCGCCTTATCCCGGACGGGAGAAGTCATTTGAATATTTGCCGCTGACAAAAAAAGGAAGGGTCTGATGTGTTATCGTATGCAAGAAGTCTATTTTTGTTGGAGGGCTTCAATTTTTTTTTTTAAATGTATGATACGTGACCTGAGCGGAGGTCATCTCCAAACCACCTCTCTGCTTTTGGTGGGGCGAGAGAAATTGTCACAATCTTACCGACCTAGATCCATCTTTTCTCCGCCTCCCAGCCATATTTGCTCCTACACCCGCAAGCTTGAGTACCTTCGGCCGGGTTTGCGGGATAAACGCAATTAGCTACCGCCGTCTCAGCCTAGAGCAGGAGAAGGAATGATGGTTTAGTCAGTCTTGCACTGACTCGATAATGAATAAGATACACGTGACCTCGTGCATAATGTCATACTCTGTAGACCATAGATAAAAGTTACACATTTTTTTTGTTATTAATTTTATTTTAGTTAGTTTAGATTATTAATATAATGTATTTATTTTCTTCTTTTATTGTTTTCTATGTGTGTGCGCTTGCGCAAAAATAAATGTTTTTCTTCTTTATCTTCTTCCTTTCGCCTCACATTGGGCGAAGGAAGTCATTTAATGATTCTCTACATTTTAGTAAGTAGACAAAAAGACAATCCCCGAACCCCTACATTCTTGACTAACCTATGCAAATTACAACTTTATATTCAAAACTGTAAGTTTTAATACAATATAATATTGAATTATTTCATAGACTACCTCGTATTGATACGGGTAGTTTTTTTTATGTAAATAAAAGGAGTCGGGCGCAAACGTATCAATGAAACAATGAAACAATGAAACAATGAATTTATTTTTGCAAATAGGCCATAAAACGGCACTTTTACACGTCAATTTATATGTAAAAAACTAGATGAAGCCGGCATTTCCTATCTGACTACTCTGAGAAGAAATGCCGAAACAAACTCAGAGGTCAGTCTCTTTTCAAGTCCAGACAATGTAAAAATAACATAATGTGAGAGAACCGTGCAAGTTCATTCTGTAGTGGTCTTTTGATGAAAGAACCACACCAGTTTAAGTGGACCCGTTCTGAAGACAGGCACGCAAGTGTCAGTTTGCAACCAGCATAGCAAGTGCTGCTGAGTTGTCCGACGAACAATACCGATCTAAAGAACATTTGGTTGGGTCACGCAAGTACTCAAACTGTCAGAACGCAGATAACTGGTAGTCCAAAAGCGCGGCAATTCTCACACGGTCCTTACACTAACAATAATAGAAAATAATCAATATTGGTCAGGGGCAGGGGCCATAGTGTTTCCATAGTTATCATATCCACCAGTCCATAGCAACCCATACCTATAACCCTATCAATTTTTACCACATTTTACAATAGTCCTGCATCAACCGGGGATTGTCCTTGGATGCACTTTTATAGTGCATACAGGGATAATTGCCGGCTGATGTCCCATCACATTTAGATTAAAACTGTTCAACGGGCCTCTGCGAGTTGGCTTCGGCTCCTCGTACGCCTTCCAAAGGTCCGGGACCCTGTGGTCCCGTGAAAGGAAAGAAAAAATGTCAATAAATAATTATAAAAATAATAAATAAAATAAAAAATGTCAAATAAAAATAAAAATGTCACCATAGGTGATAATGTCATTGTTAAAAAAAATAAACGTAATGTCAAATTGTATATAAAAAGCGTAACTTATGTTACAAACATGTCAACATGACCTGTGCAGAAGTTACAGCGGCTCATTCCCAAGCCTGACTATCTTCTAAGTAGTCTTTTATTTTATAAAATGCTTTACAGTAAAGTTTAGCCTTTATTACACTTTTAAAATTATTGAGGCTCAAATTTTGAATAGGTATCCCTAGGAATTTTATTGTAAAAGCGTATACATTGACATCTAAACGAACTACTTATTTTCTGAAGCCTGGAGGCGGGGACAACATATTTGTTTTTCCCCCTCGTGTTAATATTATGTATATCACTATGCTTCTTAAATAAGCTTTTGTTTTTATGAGCGTGAATTACATTTTCATAAATATATTGTGAGGCAACCGTCATTATCTTAGTTTCCTTAAATAATTCTCTGAGCGAATGCCTCGGACTAAGATTATAGATTGATCGAATATCGATGAGGGTCAACCCTATACAACAAATTGAAAGGGAGAGCTATCTATCCCTTTATGTAATATTTTATTTTCTACGAATATCTTTCCATTTGCAAAATGTATACCATGTTTGATATTATTATAATATTATAATTATGGTTTACAAAGATTATTTATTAAAATGTATAGGTATGGTCAATATGATATTTTCTATGTGATAGTTCGGGTGTAATCCGTCTGCTCGTTCCCGACCTATTATTATATAATTCGACTGCAGGGTTGGTGCGGTGGCTGGGCAACTGGATGCCGTGCAAGGTTTCGCGGGTTCGATTCCCGCACGGAACATCACTTTGTGTGATCCACAAATTGTTGTTTTGGGGTCTGGGTGTGATGTGTATGTGAAACTAAATGCTTGTAAACGCACCCACGACACTGGCGAAAATCTTAGAACGGGGCAACGTTTGAAAAAAAAATCCATACTACACCTATAATTCTTAAAAAGGCCGTGTCACTCCGGCTGAGCTGACCTATTTGTAGTCTGGAAATAAGTGCAGCAAATAAAAAAATTAAAGATACGAATGATGACCATTAGTTACTATTTAGTGTAAACAATAAAAAACTGAATAAAACCTCATTAAATAACGATTTCAAAGAAATATAACAACATGCATAATTCGTTTCACACCTCGTTCAGAAAACTCCTGAAAATGCATTAAATATACATGAAAGCTATGAATTATTTATGAAACAAACGATGGCGACCGACTCGATTCCAATCGATACTCCACTCGATATATCGGACGTCGATTTTATAATCGATTAAAACCAATTATGCATATTTTAACCGTATGAAAATTTGATTTATGGTTTTTCCTTTTTGTTTATTCGATTTTATTTAATTACTTTTCGGTATACGTTATGTACGTGACGGTCGTTATTTTACTATCAATCATTTGTATCAAGTAGCTAACCGAGTTTTATGAATAAACCCCAAGTGAAAAAATCGCTATAGGAAATGTTAATTCAACAAGTCGGTCAATGTTAATTCAAATTATGTTACAATGCATTGTAAAAAGTGATTGAAAAAGAGTAACCATGGAGTTTCTTGCTCGTTCTTCTCCATAGGAATCTACACTTTGGAACGAGCAAATAGCTTCACTAGAGGACAGACGGACAGACTGACACATAAAGTTAAACCTTATGATATCTTTTTTGCTTGACGTTCAAAAGTGCCTTTTTTGGTCTATTTGAAATAAAGAATTTGATTTGATTTGATTCGGACGGGGCCCTATAGGGCTGATGTTCAGCCGGGTTTGCGAGGCAAGCGCAATGAGGCATCGCGGCCTCGGCCCAGAGCAGGAGAAGGAACGGGGGGTGTTTAGTCAGTAAGAGTCCGACACTCCTTCCCGCCTGATCCTGGGCGGGAAAAGTCCTTGGATGACTTCCCCTTACAACAAAAACAAGTCTTTTTATGTCTTTAAGTACAGATTTGCAAAAAATGTCTTTCTTTTTACACGACTGCCAAAAGGCGGGTTGTAATGTTTTTAAAAGTTAGCATACGCAATACTACATACTGGCTTCCAAAAATATTAGCAATGCACTTATTCACTTACAAACAAGTGTATTCTGTAAAAAGTTATAGTTTTTAAAAGAACCTATTATTGATATGTTGAGCATTCCCATAACACTTATCGGCGTAGTGGCTGGGTAAATGGAAGCATATAGTAGTCGGAGTAATGGTAGGGAAACCAGCTGCGTTTGCAACGTGTCGCGGATTAGATTCCCGTGAGTAAAAAAACTAGTATGTTTGCAGGTTTGAGCGAGATGTTTGTAAACACAACCACGATACAGGAGAAAATCAAAGTAAGGGCAATTTTTTTTTTAAATTATAACGTATTTTGTGTAATAAATAGTAAAGTTCCTTGTTCCTTCGTTTGTCCGTTACAGTAGACGTCTAGTCGATATTGTAGCAATGCTATCAAAGTCACCGCTAGAAGCATAGAGTCCACAGGGAAATCATTTTGATACAGAATCATACGATTATTGTCATACCGAAAGTGGATTACATAATATTATTAGTATAAAGTCATTCTCTATATTAAACATATAAATATATTCATATATAAAAATGGATCGCAAATTTGTTGGTAAGCGCATAACTCAACAACGCTTGGACCAATTTTACTAATTCTTTTTTTATTGTGTTTGTTATTGTCAGGTGAAGGTTCTTATCAGAAAATATTAGAAAAGTAGAGGGGAAGATTAGGAAAAAGTGACCCTTTGATAGCGAGGATAGTTATATCTACGGGCGGGCCGCTAGTATATAAATAAAATTATTCAAAATTAAATAAAAAAAAATACTTAAAGATATAAAAAAAGATGTCCCAGCGGTATCGGGAACAGGGTCCTAGCTACCGGCGGTCATGGTTGAGAAAGAAACCTCCTGACATTACGAGCCGTCTCCAGGAATACCTTTTTCTGAATCAAGCCCTTGATCCAGCCACATAACGAGAGCCTCCTAAAGTGTTGGTCGAGGCTCTTAGCTATTGAGCCATTGGCTGACACGACTATCGGTACAATGACTGCCGAATCCACATCCCACATGTCGATAACCTCGCGTGCCAAGTGAATATACTTGATTAGTTTATTAAACTGAGTATTTTTAATACTGTCCCACCCTATAATTTTCTCCTGTATCGTAGGTGCGTTTACAAATAATAATTAGACACATCCCGCTTAGAACCGGAATAGCAATCCAAACTTAATATTATAAATGCCAAAGTAACTCTGTCTGTCTGTCTTTTCTTCACGCCTCAACTACTGAACCGATTTCTGTGAAATTTGGTACAGACAAAGTTTGAAACTCGAGAAAGCATATAGGATAGTTTTTATACCAAAAATATGCAATAGTGACTTGCACGCGAACGGAGTCACGGGCAAAAGCTAGTTAGTACATATATGACTACTACTATTCTCCACAGAGACGGTGCCCAGTAGATATTGATAATACATTTGTAGCGGCACGATCACGTCGCTACATTACTTAGATACGATAGAGATAAGACACACATGTTAATTGTTGCACGTTTGTTAGGATAGCTAAATCTGAAAATCTCACGCATCTCCTTAGTATATAAGCACCAGCAATTAAAGTAATAAACAGACCTTAACCATCTACAGTCTCATTATTTACCTTGCCACGAAGTCTGGCAAATTGGTGACCCGACGAAGAACAATCAACATGACTCATTCACTCTGCAAATCAAGCAGCAGCCAACAAGAAGCCTTGGAGATATCAGCCGGAACCGGAATTTTGGAGGGACCAACCCAGATTATGGTTTAAGCAACTAGAAGCCATAGTAGCACCACAGAAGCAAGGAGACGATTACAAGTACTATACGGTCATTGCAAAACTGCCAAAAGAAGAAATAATACAGGTTAGTGACCTCATTACTTGCCCACCGCCAATAGAAAAGTACAAGGCTATCAAAGAACGCCTAATCAGTTGCTATGAGGAATCAGACCAACGTCAGCTCCAAAAATTATTGTCTGAAATGGATCTCGGCGACCAGAAACCATCACATCTTCTGCGCAAGATGCGGACCCTGAGTAACGGAAATATCAGCGACGAAACCATCAAACTTCTATGGTTGAGGCTTCTGCCACCATCAGTGACTTCGGTTCTAGCAGTCACAGAAGACATAGATGTGAACAAGATGAGCCAGATCGCGGACAAGATATTAATAAATTCAACACGTACAGAGGTGTCAGCTGTAAACGGAAACAAATCTGGCGACGATACAATGTCATGCATACTAGCACAGTTAGCAGAAATGCAATTGGAACTAAATGCAATTCAGCAAGGTCAAAAAAACTATCGACGCAGCACTCAAAGTTATTCCAATCGTCGGCATTTCCTACCACAGTCAAGTTCAAGAGAAAGAAGGCACTTTTGTTTTTACCATGGAAGATTTAAAAAATATGCACAAAAGTGTGTTCAACCTTGTGATTGGAAACAGGATCTCAACTCAAGGAAACAGGGAAACTAATTGAAGCACGGACAACGGCGGAACTCTGTGCTATTCACCCGTCCAACCGCCTCACTATTACCGACCGAAAAAGTGGTATGAGATTTTTGATTGACACGGGAGCAAATATTTCAGTTATTAGCAAGCCACAGAGACAGTCACTAATACAAGATGAACAATGTATACTTTATGCCGCCAATGGTACAAAAATTAAGACATATGGTAAAAAAACACTCTCTTTAAACTTCGGGCTACGAAGAAACCTTGTATGGAACTTTGTCATCGCCGATGTAACACAACCGATTATTGGAGCAGATTTTTTAGAGCATTATAAGCTATTAGTCGATATAGCTGGTCGAAAACTCATAGATAGGGTAACTGAGCTGACAACGCCCGCAACCCTGATCAAATCGACGCAGCAAACAATCCGCACTATTAACATTGAGACGAATCCACGCATTACTCAACTATTAAATGAATACGAGGATATTACGAAACCAGCCTCCCTCCACACTACTCCAAAACACAAGATTAAGCATCATATTATCACTAAAGGACCACCGGTATCAGCACGTGCAAGACCATTACCTCCTGATAAATATCATATAGCAAAGAAAGAATTTCAGACTATGATGGAGCTTGGCATTTGTCGCCCTTCGGACAGCCCATGGGCTAGTCCTTTGCACATGGTTAAGAAAAAGAACGGTGAATGGAGACCATGTGGAGATTATAGAATGCTCAATAGCGTAACTGTACCGGACAAATATCCACTTCCACGACTAACTGATTTCACTTACATACTAGAAGGGAAGCAAATCTTTTCTAAAATTGATATTCGAAAGGCGTACCACTGCATTCCTGTAGAAAATGTGGAAAAAACTGCTATTATCACTCCTTTTGGACTTTTCGAATTTCCAAAAATGCCTTTCGGTTTACGTAATGCGGCGCAAACATTCCAACGATTCATGGACTCGCTATTCAGGGATTTGGATTTCGTATTCATATTCGTCGACGATTGTCTTATAGCATCTGAAAACGAGGCTCTACATTATCAACATTTGGATACGGTTTTCAAACGTTTACATGAAAATGGATTAACAATTAATCTCGAAAAATGTGACTTTCTTAAGAGTGAAATAGATTTTCTGGGTTATCATACAACACGTCGAGGAATACGACCAACGGAGGAAAAGTACAAAGCAATTATGGAATTTCCTAAACCTACGACAATCAAGGAGCTAAGAAGATTTTTAGGAATGATCAACTTTTACAGAAACAATCTCCCTCATGCCGCTGAATATCAAACTATCTTAAACAACTACCTGCACGACTCTAAAAAGAATGATAATTCTCCAATTTCTTGGACAACAGAGGCCGAAAAAGCTTTTGATAAATGCAAGAAAAATATAATGAACGCAGTATTAACAGTTCACCCCTCTCGCACCGCCCCTTTGGCACTTATGACGGACGCCAGTTCGACCTGTGTTGGCGCAGTTCTGCAGCAGAAGTCAGGACGTAATTGGGAACCATTAGGATTCTTTTCAAAGAAATTAAGTGATACTCAACAAAAATACTCGACATTCGACAGAGAGTTGCTCGGAATATATATGGCAGTCAAACATTTTCAAAGGTTAGTCGAAGGAAGAGAATTTACTATCTTTACAGATCATCGACCTTTGACTTACGCATTTTCCCAAAAACCGTCATCTAATGATACGCCACGGCGAATACGACAACTGGATTTTATTTCACAATATTGTACCAACATTCAACATATAGAAGGACGTGACAATATTGTAGCAGACGCATTGTCACGGATAGAACAAATTGATGTGCCATCACCGATTAATTATGCTGATTTAGCAAGATGTCAGCATGATGACCAAGAATTATTACGACTTCGTAATAACAAGAATTTAAAATTTTCAATCAGCAGAAACAATCAGCACAAATGCAGTGGATAGTTCATCGACTGCCGCCGCCGTCACAACAAAGGCAGCAGTTTTTATTTCCTTCGAATTAGCAACAATGACATTACATTACGCATAGGATGTAATTTATCAGCAAGGTTAAGTTATTATATAATTAGGTACATACTAATTTTTTTCAATTTATATGTTAATTATTTTTAAAAGGGGGGAGTATATGTAGCGGCACGATCACGTCGCTACATTACTTAGATACGATAGAGATAAGACACACATGTTAATTGTTGCACGTTTGTTAGGATAGCTAAATCTGAAAATCTCACGCATCTCCTTAGTATATAAGCACCAGCAATTAAAGTAATAAACAGACCTTAACCATCTACAGTCTCATTATTTACCTTGCCACGAAGTCTGGCAAACATTTTTTTATGTAATGCATCCGCAAACGAGCATTCGCATTACCTGATGGTAAGCAATCAGCGCCGACCATGGGCACCCACAACAACTGTAACAGAGGAGTTACGAGCGCGTTGCCTACCTTTTGGGGATTAAGGATTGAGGGATGGGAAGGATTGGGCCTCCGATAACCTCACTTACACGGCAAAACACAACGCTCTGGTTGTTTCACGATTTTCTGTGAGGCCGTGGTATCACTCCGGTCGAGCTGACCTAGTCGTGCCGAAGTATGGCTCTCCCGCACTTACTATAACAAATTGGTAACCTTAAAAGGCACTCGTAACTCCTTTGGTGTTGCGGGTGTCCATGGGCGGCGACGAATGCTTACCATCAGGGAACGAGCTTCCGAGTTTGTCTCCTTATCACAAGAAAAAAGTTACACAAATAAGGCTTTTACACTGAAAATGTATTTTCATTTTAGTTGTAGTTGTGTTGAGCACAGCGATGGTATCGATCCGCCACCAATACTACTTACTTCAAGGCCAACCTTCAGTTCTAGTGTTCGCTAGCAATTATTTACAATTTGTAAACTTTGTTTTGTGTACGCAGTACCATATTATACGTACGTACCTGTTATTTAGCAGTAGTTAATTAGGTTTACGATAATTTATCAAAATTAATTCTTATTTCTAATGGTTCTATGGTTTCAATACGTGGGTCTGTGTCGATACGTCTTTGTTGGCGTTTCGAATTTCGTCCGACTCCGACTAAGATAGGGTAACACTAATTCAGCGCCATTTCAACAAGCCATTTCTGCACTAGGTCCGGATTGCCAGATGAAAAAAACTATTTCGCGCGCTTTGTGCTGTAAAGCCGATTTCGTTTATGATATGATTGTTTATAATATTATAATTATATTATTGTGTTTTCGTGTTAAAACCACCACGCACAGAGCCACGCTTCGGCATGTACGGGCCAGCTCGTCCGAGACACCACAGTCTAACAGAAACAACCACAGTGGTGTGTTTAGTCATGTTAGTGAGGTGACCTGATGCCCAATGAAGGGAGGGCCTTCCCAAACTTTCGATTCGAATCAGAAATTCTAGAGATTAGCACGTTCAAATAAACAAATTAACTCTACATGCTTTATAATATTAGTATAAATATTTAGCAAATAGCTGGAAACGGAGACCATTTTTAACCACGTAAATTGTGTGCAAAATAAACCAAAAACAAGCGATCACTTGCTATACGCGGTTCAAACCCTAGAGGTTATTGTCCCACCGCGGCCTAATAATCAATATTATAATAAAAAATATATTATTTATTTTAATAACACGACCAAAATAGCATAAAACGCGTAACTAACCAAATTATATAATAACCCTATTTAAAAAATAAAAGGCACGTTTTTGTCCACAATTTCTATTTCGTTACAAAACACTGTTAATTCAAATCAGCTATGGCTTCGAGTTTCGTAGTTTATTCCGAAAATAGCCATCACAAACACAGGGTGTAGGAATTGTAAACATTTACAAAAAGCGAGCGAAGCTAGGCAGTTGCCACCCTACTGCTATTTTGAGTCACGGAAAGCAAACCACGTGCGCTCACATTGAGCGCATTACGTTTATACATATACTTATAATTAAATACTCCAGATTGGTTAACTTTTAAGGCTAAAAAAGTACCTAAATCTTTTGTTATTAACTAAAATGACCATTTGCACGCTTTGGTCCACTGCTATAAGTGTGGGAGAGCCATGCTTCGGCACGAATGGGTCGATTCGACCGGAGTAAAACCACGGCCTCACAAAAAACCGACCTGAAACAACCACAGCGTTGTGTTTCGCCTCGTGAGTTAGGTTACTGGAGGTTCAATCCTTCCCCTCCTTAATATCTAAGTCACCAAAACCCTAATCCCCCAAAAGGTAGACTAAACTCTCCTAACTCCTCCGTTGTTGCGGGTGTCAATGGAAGGCGCTGACTGCTTACACATAAAAAAGACCTTTGCTAAAAAAATACGTTAAAGTTTTTGTGCTAATAATTACAATGACTAATCATTGTGATCATCAGCCCATTTTCGTCCATTCCTGGACATAAGTATCTCCAATCGTTCTCTACTGAGAGAGATGTTCAGCTCTTTCCTATCCAAACTCGGGCATCGACCTCACAACAAGTTGCAGGACCACCAATATCCCAGCCGCGTCAACCGTGCAGACATCAGTATCATAATAAGGTCATCATCATCATCAGCCGGAAGACGTCCACTGCTGGACAAAGACCTCCCCCTTAGTCCTCCACGTCCAGCAACAAGTTGCCACCTGCATCCATTGGCTCCCCGCGGCTCTGTCAATATCGTCGGTCCACTTAGCAGCGATTCTGCACACGCTACGTTTTGGTCTTTATAATAAAGTATTGCAAAGATAATCTTCTTCAGAATCTACTTTTATTTTCGGCCTTTTTCCAGGTGGTGGACATGCGATGGGGGGTCCGTGATGAAGCCACAGACGATCACATGACCACAGAACTCTGTATGAGGGAGATTAAAAACTGTCAGCGTCTTTCCATGGGACCCAACTTCGTGGTCTTCTTGGGACAGAAATATGGATACAGGTATTTCTTTTTTAGGTTATTAATCCGGTACTACGTATGTGACATGCACACTGCTCATGAATAGGCGTCCTATTGGGACTAGTAAGAAGTAGAGTTTTTCTCTTTTAATTTACGTAAATCGTTACTTTTAACAATTATTTTTATTTTTAATTGGTATGTAGGTATAATCGTCAATTACACAGTTTTTGGTAGACATGAAATAGAACAAGTCTTAATAAAGTTGGTACAGTAAGGTTAACTGTGCCAGCTGTGAAAGCCAGCTTTGCTTGTCGGAGTAGAAGATTTAAGTCAGTAAGAGTCTCACACTCCCTCTCAGACATTCCCAGCGTAGAAGTCATTGGATAAATTTGGCTTCCTTACAAAAGGCTGATTGCGATAATCCAAATGATGAAGGAATAAAAAAAGAAAGAAGGATATATATTATTTTAAATTGTGTCGTGGGTGCGTTTACAAACATTAATTTAACATACTCACCACACCCAGACCCGGAACAACAAATTATGTATCACACAAAGAGTTGTTCCGTGCGGGAATCGAACCCGCGACACGTTACGTGGCAGCCCCACAGCCACCACTCCAACTCCTCCAAGCGTGCAGTAAAATATTAGCGTGCGTTTAGCTATATAGCAGCGTGTGCGTTTGTATAAACTAAAATTATTTATTCAAATTTTATGGCTGCTGTAATTACATTAGCAAACACTATTAAATGCTATCATTGTACCTCCGGGACTACAAATTGTCTGCTGCTTGTGTTGATAGTAAATTTACTACCTAGAATAGTTCTCTAATTGTATTCAGGGAAATGTACGAAAATAGACAGGATCATGCGATCAAATACAGAGCAAGTACCAAGCTCGACAAAAGGATTAAGTTTTTTTGGTGAGAGGAAATTGTTCAATCACTACTCTCACCCTGGGTAAATCGAGAGAGAGTTTCAAATTCTGTTTGACTTCAACTCCTCATTCCTTCTCCTGCTCTAAGCCGAAGTCGTTACTGCGCTAGCTCCGCAATCCCGGCTGAACATCAGCCCTCCAGGGCCGCGACTACAGTGGTGTATTTTACATATTTATTAGCTCTTAGAGGCGCGCGTGGAACGCTACGAGCTATACGCTCGGGCCGGGTCGGGCAGCGACTTACCCTTTACGCCGTCCACACCACCAGCGGTAACGGTGACTAAGGTCATTGCTCGATCCCCGACACCCGGAGTTTCACTTCTTCGGCGGCAGGTGCATTAGGAAAATAGATCTCTCACGCGCTCCGCCTTCCCAGTTCCTCTCTTCTCTCCGCACCATGGCCTGGACTAAGGACGCTAGTAGCTGCCGCCGATTCCCTGACTCCCCTGGGGAAAAGGCGGTGCTCAGCCTAGGTAGCCGCTACCGTATGTTCCACCGTGTCTTCCGGATGGTTCTGGACTTTTAAAACTTACTTTGTTATTGCCTACCTCTTTGAAAAATATCTAACGTGTTGTTACTATACTGCTAAAACTAAAACAACTTTTTTTCTTTTTTCAGACCAATTCCAACATATGTGCTATCTTCAGAGCTGCAGATGTTGAAAGACGAGCTGGTGGCAGGAGGTGTGGACGTGATCCTACTGGATACTTGGTACAAGAAGGACTCGAATGCTGTACCTCCTGTGTCTGTACTTCAACCCATCTCTTCCATATTAATCAATTTTAATAACAAGGTGGGTATTGTTTTGCTAGATGATTTTAATCAGAAATGTTTAGCTATTTCTAAGATGCGTTTATTCCACCTTCTGTCAGCTACATAAAGCTATTTCATACAGTGCAACGTGTCGCGGGTTCGATTCCCGCACGGAACAACTCTTTGTGTGATCCACAAATAGTTATTCTGGGTCTGGGTGTCATGTGCCTGTGAAATTGTATGTTTGTAACCGCACCCACGACACAGGAGAAAATTCTAGTGTGGGCTAACGTTTTCTTTAAAAAAAAAGAGAAAAGAGCTATCACGATAATGATAACACAAAGATAACGCGATGGCAGGGTAAGGTGCTACAGTGCAACTTGGTTTGGGCTCAATTACCGCATAAAACAACTGTTTGTATGAGTAACAAATTGTTCTTTGGGTCTGGGTATGATGTGTTTGTGAAAATTTTGTAAACGCACAGAAGAAATTCAGAGAATATATGTTTACTTGTATTCAATCAAGTAGACAAAAAAATAAAAATTATATAATCTTCTTTAAGTCTATTTTACCATGTCTGGTTTGCCACTATGTAGCTCTAGCAAATGACGTTGTAGCACTCTAGTTATGCAGGTGTCCTTGGCCGGCACCGATCGCTTACCATCAGGTGATCCGCCTGCTTGCTTGCCTCCTATTCCACAAAAAAAAAAAAATTTGAAAGCAAACCCTATAACTGCCATTTTATTATTTTCTTAATGTTGTAGAGGGTCCCAAAACTTCAAGCTGAGGATCAAGCAGTATGGTGGGACACTCTTGGGAAGATGCAGAAACTCTTCCGAAAAGCATCATCACAACTATACAACGCTGGCAAGATTGATAAGGATTGTATGCACAATTATTTCATGTCCGGTAAGTAAACATCGTTGAATATAAGACTAAGACTTTTTATGCGGGAAGGTTCAAATCTGGTCAGACTCAATGTGTCTTTTTTTGAGTTATATGAATCTATTTAATAATATAATAATCAACGCCACTTTTCGTTGCAATGCATTTACCGATTTCGCTAATTTTGGTCTTGAATTATACGCTGAAGTCCAGACAAGGTTTGTACGTAGAAGGAAATTATTATTAATTAAAAAGCATTAAAAAGTGTTAAATCGAACGCTCTTGTATCTAATAATTCTCTAGCAAACTAACAATTACTTAACAAAAAAAAAAGAAGTTTATAACTTTAGTGAGGCAAATTAATAATCGTTGTGTTTAACGGCTTACTCACGTAACGTCACTTCGACTAATTTCGAACCACGCTAGGGACTCATATTTATACGCAACATTGCGCGACATAGTACGTATGTATTTATTGCCATCTACGTCTTTCAATTCCAGTGACTGAACGTGAAGTCATCAACGGAGTGCTGAACGTCAAGAATACGAAGAACCACTGCTTAGCCTACGTCCGGTACATCAATAACATCAACCTGCAGAATCTGAAGAAGGCCAGCAACTTCGTGGACATCATCAACAGGAGCTTGGATGCTGAGGCTTCTAAACTCCTCGCTGATCTTCGAGATGTCAGACTTCCGAATAAAATTGAGACTACTAATATACAGAAGTAAGTTTTGAGTTAAATTCTTATCGGCTTTGCAGTTTTCGTTTTCGAAGTTGAAACCTATACAAAGTAGTTTTCAATCATTGAGAGGCGTGTCGAGACCCACATTAACTATGATGTGCTTGTAGAGACCCAAATTCAAGTCTTGAACACAGGTGCAAATTGCAATCTCGGTTTTTTATGGGACACATTTCGAATAGTGTTCGAAGAAATTGCATAACTTCAATGAAACAATGAAACAATGAATTTATTTTTGCAAATAGGCCATAAAACGGCACTTTTACACGTCAATTTATATGTAAAAAACTAGATGAAGCCGGCATTTCCTATCTGACTACTCTGAGAAGATATGCCGAAACAAACTCAGAGGTCAGTCTCTTTTCAAGTCCAGACAATGTAAAAATAACATAATGTGAGAGAACCGTGCAAGTTCATTCTGTAGTGGTCTTTTGATGAAAGAACCACACCAGTTTAAGTGGACCCGTTCTGAAGACAGGCACGCAAGTGTCAGTTTGCAACCAGCATAGCAAGTGCTGCTGAGTTGTCCGACGAACAATACCAATCTAAAGAACATTTGGTTGGGTCACGCAAGTACTCAAACTGTCAGAACGCAGATAACTGGTAGTCCAAAAGCGCGGCAAGTCTCACAAGGTCCTGACACTAACAATAATAGAAAATAATAATAATGTCAATAAATAATTATAAAAATAATAAATAAAATAAAAATGTCACAATAGGTGATAATGTCATTGTTAAAAAATAATAGTAATAAACGTAATGTCAAATTGTATATAAAAAGCGTAACTTATGTTACAAAAATGGCAACATGACCTGTGCAGAAGTTACAGCGGCTCATTCCCAAGCCTGACTATCTTCTAAGTAGTCTTTTATTTTATAAAATGCTTTACAGTAAAGTTTAGCCTTTATTACACTTTTAAAATTATTGAGGCTCAAATTTTGAATATCCCTAGGAATTTTATTGTAAAAGCGTATACATTGACATCTAAACGAACTACTTATTTTCTGAAGCCTGGAGGCGGGGACAACATATTGTTTTTCCCCCTCGTGTTAATATTATGTATATCACTATGCTTCTTAAATAAGCTTTTGTTTTTATGAGCGTGAATTACATTTTCATAAATATATTGTGAGGCAACCGTCATTATCTTAGTTTCCTTAAATAATTCTCTAAGCGAATGCCTCGGACTAAGATTATAGATTGATCGAATAGCCCTTTTCTGCAGAACAAAAATAGACTGAATGTCAGCAGCATTCCCCCACAACAAAATACCGTATGACATGATGCTGTGGAAATAACTAAAATAAACTAACCGCGCTGTATCTACATCTGTTAAATTTCTAATTTTTTTAACGGCATATGCTGCAGAACTGATCTTCTTCGACAAGCCATCTATATGTGGGCCCCACTGGAGCTTAGCGTCCAGGGTTATACCTAAAAAGACAGTTGTATCTACAGGACTCAACTCCTCGCCCTTGACAAGCACACTGGTTTTTACCTGTTTAACATTTGGTGTTGTGAATTTAATACATTTAGTTTTAGTTTCGTTTAGTAGTAAGTTATTAACACCAAACCAGTGAACTATTTCTGAAAGAGCACTGTTTACATTGTCAATAACTAATTGTCGTCGTCTGAGTTTGAATAATAGTGAGGTATCATCAGCAAACAGCACTATCTCGTGTCTATCCCTTACAAGGTAAGGCAAGTCATTAATATAGATAAGAAATAAAAACGGGCCGAGGATAGAACCCTGCGGAACACCCATCCTCACAACAGATCCGGCAGAAACCACTCCGTTTACTTCAACTCTCTGAACCCTATTACTCAGGTATGAGGTAAGAAGGTAGAGATGCACCTCTTATTCCGTAATGGGATAGCTTCCTGATCAGTGTATCATGAAGCACACAATCGAACGCCTTGGATAAATCACAAAATATTCCCAAAGCGTCGCTTGAGTCCTCCCATGCGTCGTAAATGTAATTAAGAAGTTCAACACCGGCATCAGTTGTTGAACGACCCCTTGTAAATCCGAACTGTTTCGCATGTAATAATTTATTTCTATTAAAAAATCTTTGCATTTGATCTAAAATAATTTTTTCAAAAATTTTACTGAAAGTAGGTAGCACTGAAATCGGTCTAAAGCTAGTGGGGTCAGAAGTACTACCTGATTTAAATAATGGAATTATTTTACTACATTTCATAAGATCAGGAAACACACCACAGTCAATACAGTTATTAAAGATTTGAGCTAATACAGGTGCTACAATAGTTATTACAGAGCTTGTAATATACACAGAATTACCCCATAGATCTGCAGTCTTTTTGTTATTCAAAGTATTAAAGATTTTAACAATTTCTTTGTTATCTATGTGCTCGAAGGAAAACCCTGAATCGCAAGCTACAACATGTTTTTTGAGTAAAGACTCTGCAACAGTGGGAGATGAATTCAGTGACTTAGTAGTGGATACAGGAATGTCGGAAAATAAATTTTCAAAAGCAGTTGCAATTTCTACATCCGCTTTTATTAACTTATTATCAATTACAAGACTATGTTGATTTATTCTCTTTTTAGACCTTCCTGCTTCACTATTGATAATATTCCAAGTGTCTTTGATAACATTGGTACTGTTCTTTATCTTAGAGCTTAAGAATAGTGATTTAGCAATAGAGCAAACCTTTTTGAATAATTTAGAATAGTTTTTTACATATTCACTGAATTCAACAGTGTTAATATATGTCCGCTCATTATAAAGCTCATAGAGGCGATTTCTACTCTTATAGATACCAGTGGTTGCCCAATCACCGAAAGACGCATTGCTATTAGCTGGTATAGTTTTATCTGTAAAAGTAGACTTAAACTCTGTTAGGTACATTTTAAAAAACTTACCATATAAAGTGTTAGAATTCTTATAATTCAACAACAAAGGCAATTTGTTGCTGAGTTTAGCTTTGAAATATTCAATGCGTCTTTTATTCTTCGGATTAACTGTGATAAATTGTTTTGACACTTTATTTATTTCATTTGTTAAAGAAATTAACTGACCACAGTGATCGGAATCAAGTACTGAAATTATTTCTTTGTTAACTGGCACAATGTCAGTATAAATATTGTCCATGCAAGTGGCACTAGTGGGTGTTATCCTAGTTGGCTCCAGAAACAAATTCACAAGGTTGTATGAAGAAAATAAACTTACAATTTTTGTGCTTAAACTACATTTTTCTAATAAATTTATATTAAAATCACCACATGTAATGATGGATTTCTTTGAATTTGTAAGTTTACTAAGAACTTCATCCATTACTGTTTCAAAACAGTCATACAAACCAGAAGGTGGTCTATACACGCTTAATACAATAAACCGCTCCAATTCCACACAGGCTATTTCAACAGTACGCTCAACAGAGTAACTAACTATATCTTTGCGATCTTTGAATTTAAGCTGGTTACTTATCAGTATAAGTGACCCACCATATATAGCGTTTTCTCTGCTGAACGAGCTACCAATCTGGTGCTTACCAAAATTGAACATGAGCTGATGGGGTTTTAGCCAATGTTCAGTAATACACAAAATATCCACATTATTACAATTTAAAAATAACTCTATTTCCAATTCTTTACTCATAAAGCCTTGAATGTTTTGGTGAACCAGATTAATAACCTTATTACTGTTTAATTTGCAAGAGGTTGTCTCTATTGTCTTATAACTTCACTCTCTCTAATCCTTTCCGACATCCTAACATCGGAAAATCGGCATTACCGCTTCGTGTTGGACATTCCACCAACACGCACGAAGCGATTTACTACCAGTTGTATCATCAGGACCGATAAGGAGTGAAATTCTTTGTCGGAGTTCACCGAAGGCACCAGGGTACCGGTATCTTCTAGGCTAGGTTACGGGAAGAAGTGCTTCAGCCTATACTAATACAAGAAAATCATAGTTTTTATCACATTCGTCTAAAAGTCAATAAGGACACACTGAAGCCTTTTATCGCAACTCCTTATGAAATCTCATTCTTATGGTTTACAGCTATGTCTTAGTATGTACAATACGATTTTCTGATTTCTGGTTAAATCAGCAGCGGTAATATTTTGTGTAATAATTAGAACAAGCAGAGCTACTATAATAAGTACTTTTTGAAACGCCGAATAATCCTGCCTCTAAGCGTAAAGAAAGGTAGATAATTTTATTGGTCTATACCAAGCTGACATTCATATCATGTTGAAAGCACCGGTTCTCCTCCAACCAATGAAGTTAAGCAACAAATGACCACCTCTGCATACCGCAGCCTCGACCTGGAAGAGTCTGACACTCTCTCTCACCTCACCTTCAGCGAGGCATTTGACTATTTATACTAACAAAAAATACGCTTTTAAAAAATCGTAACATTTCTGTTTCATCTCTTTTCAGATACACAGTGGAATGGATCGGTCGCGAGGGTCTTGACACGGAGACACACAGCGAATACCTCGGCCACTTTATAGCCCATTTCTACAAGAATATTGTGAAATTAGTTGACAGGTAAAGAATGATTTTAAACATTATTCATCTACTGCAAGCCAGGGTTCCAGGGCAAGCGTGATAATGTACCGAGGCTCCGGCCTGGAGTAGGAGGAACGTGGTTTTTCTTAGTCATTAAGAGCCTGGCACTCTTTCTGTCCGCTCAGGGTGATAGAAGGCCTCTCCTTATAGCGCGTTGTCGGCCTTTTAGGGATAAGGGTTTTAGATATTTAAGGAACGCGAAAGGATAGGGGTGGAGCGGGATTAGGCCTCTGGTAACCTCACTCATACGGCGAAACACAACGTTGTGATTGTTTTACGCCGAATTTCTGCGAGGCTGGACACTCCGGTCAAGCCGGCTCGTGGCGGAGCCTAAAATATCATACTTAAAATATCTAACAGTAAGTTTGGAATCGCTAATGCTCCTTGAGCAATCGCAATCGCGTGGTGAATAATGCCCAACCTTCTCCGAGTGAGAAGTGGCGTTTGCTCAGCAGTACGGCTTTGTAGTCTGATCACAATTAATTTGTTTCTTCTACACAGTCACCATACAGCTTTAACGAAAGTTAATTATAACAGAATACAATTCATCTACATTGTTAATAATATTCTTCCATCATCTACCCCATTATTTTTGCAGCACTAAATTTATTCTCGGAGTTATTAACATATTTTTAGATTGGAGGAGAATTCAAAGCTAATCCGGTCATTTGCAATGCATACGTAAGTTGCAAACTATGTCATTAAAACTAACCGGGAGTTGGTTCATTTGCAAATCAATTACAAATATTTCTGTAACAGTTTTTCAAAGTTCAACAAGATTTTTCGTTATTGTAATTGGGTATTTAACAAACAGTCATATTCAATATTCTTTTTAAATTGACAAAATTATAATTTTTCGATAAATTTTGTATTGCATGATGCATGAAATAACCTTATTTCTTTCATAAAAAATGGGCTACGAAAAAACCAGAATATTGAGTGTGGGAGCCGTGATTCAAGCGAAGTGATACCACGGCCTCTCATTTCTCGTTTTCCTTATCAACGTATTAAGTTTGAGTTTTGATTGACGAGAAAAATAAACTATAATATCAATTATAGTTAATTTTTTATTCGAAGAAATACGACATTGTCGCGTTTTTTATCAGTGTAAATCCTTTGTGAGAGGGAGTGTCAAACGCTTACTGACTAAAAACCACCCCGTTTCTTCTCCTACTTCAGACCAGGGCTCTAAAATTAACACTTTTTATAATGTCAGTAGGGTTATAAACTCACATAATGCGTCGCTATATCCAAGGGGATAGGATAGCTGACTAAAATAATATACGCTCTTGATTCCAGAGCCATGCGCAAAGAAGACAGCAGTGCACAGGGTGTGATCGTGACAGAGATACTCCAGCATCTTCACGCTTGCAATAATTCCGTCAAGGTGTTCCACGGGAGAGAGCCAGATCTAGACTTCATAGAGAACTACATGAAGAACAAGTCTGATAAGCCATTGGTGCTGTATGGAGAAGGTAGGTGCCCAAAAACAAGGAACGGGAAGGAACTTATGTATGTAGACTGTTGAGTACAATGAGCTAATGTTTATTCTGAAATGGTTACCACTCTCTGTGTGCCTGTAGTCGTGGACTAGGTTCAAAACCTAGCAAGTACCAATGTGACCTTTGCCCAGTTTATGTTCTTTCTAAGATCACTTTACCACTCCATTTGTGTAGTTGTAGTATAATCAGGAACGGCAAAAACTGTACGAATGTCGGGAAACTTTCTACCTCGCAAAACCAAACTTTGGAATGATCTTTCACCGGTATTAATTCCGAAACCAAAAAGACCTTCCATAAACGATTTAGAACTACCTTCAATAAACGTGTATGCTCTTTCATAAAAGGAAAGCAACGCGCCTGAGACTCCTCTGGTGTTGCAAGTGTGTATGGGCAGCGCTGGTCACTTAAAATCGTGTGATCAGTCTGCTCGTTTGCCCTTTTATTCCATAAAGAAGAGGATAGAAATTGCTATTATTTTCCATTAAACCCATTCTTCTGTTTTGCCATGATGTAACTATCGTTGTGTTATAACAATTTTATCCATGTTTCTTACCATCATATTTCCATCTTCAGGTGGTTGCGGCAAAACCAGTCTATTAGCGAAAAGTGCTGCGATGTCCTTAGACACCTGGTTCGCTGATGTCAAACCTACCAACGTCATCAGGTTCCTCGGAACAACTCCTGATTCCAGCGCCCTCACTCCTACCCTCATCTCTATCTGTCAACAGGTAAAAACAATGTGTAGATATAATAAGGAATAGGGAGAGGTGGGGGAGGGGAAAATACAACATTGTGATTGCTTTACGGCGATTTTCTGTGAGGCCGTGGTAGCCACTCTTAGACTCTTCTTAAATTATCTTCAAATCAAATTTATTCAGGAGCTCAAAGCAGTTCATTTTCATATGCGTTTCAAACCTGATGCGTAATCAGGTTTCATGGCGTCTATTAAGAGAAGTTGTAATGATTGAGAATCTGAAGCTGATATCTTCTTTGTTGTAATAACTGTTTAACAGAATTCTTAATCTCGAGAAAATTCTTTGACATACGAACTTTAAAGCAATCTGAATGAAGTAATTCTTCAATTATCTAAGCTTTCACCATTGGTTTCAGATATCATATAACTTTGCTCTTCCCTTCGAGGGTATACCTGATGACCTGGTGCCTCTCACCGCACACTTCAAGCACCTCCTGACAATGGCCACGCAGCAGCAGCCTTTACTTCTATTCCTGGATTCCGTAGACCAACTCACGGGCATTGGCACTGAGAATAATAAGGTCTCCTGGCTACCAACGAGGTTGCCTGCTCATTGTAAGGTAAAGTGGTATAATTTTGGGTAAATATCTGAATCTTTGATGAGGTTTTGTGTTTTCATTCTCTCTCTAGCTTTGTTCTCTCGTTGATATACATATGTACGTTGGGAAAGGCTAGGGCTGGTGTTACGTATGTCATTTGTTTGTGTGTGCATCGTACGTTTTTTTTATGTTATAGATCGGCAAACGAGCAGACGGATTACCTGATGGTAAGTAATCAGCGCCGCCCATGGACACCCGCAACGGCGCGGAGGAGTTACGAGTGCGTTGCCGACCTTTTAGGGATTAGGAATTTAGGAGGGATTGGGGGTGGGGAAGGATTGGGCCTCCGGTAACCTCACTCACACGGCGAAACACAACGCTGTGGTTGTTTTACGCCGGTTTTCTGTGAGGCCGTGGTATCACTCCGGTCGAGCCAACCCATTCGTGCCGAAGCACGCCTCTCCCACACTTAAATGAAAATGGTGTTGATGATGTTTATGTGTTTTTTTGTTTTTTGTTTTTCAGATAATAGTAACATGTGCTTGTGAGGAAGCAAATCCAGAAGTGTCCAAAGAATATGACGTACTAAGGCGTATGATCGACTCCGAAGAGAATTTCTTAGAAGTGAAGGCTTTAGGAGAAGATTTGGCGATGCAGGTTTTGAAGTTAGTATATTTTAACTGGTTGGGTTATAATATTCATATTGGATCATTTGGATAAGAATAAATAATCATTTTTTTTAAATAAATTCAATTTCATAAAAACAAATAAATTTTTGGTAGTAACTATCGTGAGATATACAAGCGCCAAAAATGTGTATTGAAAACAACGCGATTGCTCGCGCGAATTAACAGTAAGTTGGCCGTGCGAAGTGGCCACGACGCGCAAGCTGCTCATTTCTTTATTAACTGACTAGCTACTCTCGCGCGGTTTCACCCGCTGCTCGGCTCCATTTGATCGTAGCGTGATGTTTTATAGCCTATAGCACTCGGGAACATTGAAGCTACCAGTAAAAAAAATTTGGAAATCCCACCAGCGGTACCAAAGATTACCCCCTACATACAAACTTACAAATTTTACCTCTTTATAATATAAGTATAGATAAAGCTTAATTCACGTGTGTAATTTGTTATTTTCAATACACATTTTTGGCGTTTTGAAAGAGTTTTTAGTCCTTACGAGGTCTATTTTGTCTATAAAATATTTGTACCAAAATATTTTTTGTAAATTCTTTCAGATTGTGGATGGCATCAGCAGCTAGAGATTTATCCAACTACCAGTGGCGTTTAGTATCAAACGCGATCGCGTCATGTTCTTTGCCAATATTTGTAAAGCTCGTCTTTGCTGAGGTAGGTTTATATTCTACATTCATAGTTTCTCTATATTATTATATTACAATCTGACTATCCCCGTAGACACTTATAAATCCACTCAATATTTTTTTTTTGGGGTTTATAATCATCCAGTGTCTTATCCCGAGAGGGAGTGTCAGACTTCTACGGACTAAAAACCAACCCATTCCGCTCTCTGGTCTGAGTTGACGCGGTACTTCATTGCAGCACAGCTACATCAGCCTCATTTGTATCTTTATAAAGGACAAGCTGACTACCACACCATGGGTATTTCTTGAGACTTTAACAACTCGAACCACCTTTTTCATAACCAAATAGTATAAAGAAGATAGATTTTAGCATTTATAAATACCACATTCCTGATAAAAAGTATTTTATCTCTTCAGGTCTGCAGATGGAGAAGCTACACCAAACCACAAGACACGCACTTAGCGTCAACAGTCATGGACTCCATCATGATGCTGTTCGAGAGAATTGAGAAACAGGTAAACGAAGAGAAAGGTCATGGAAAAATAATCTTTAGTTAACATAGTTGCTACTTTTATCATCACCAATCACAAGTCTACTGCTGAATAAAAATACTGAAACAAAACAATGAAACAATGAAGCCTCTTGAAACATCTTGCCAGATGAATAACGGCATTGTGAACGCCGCGAGATGCCAATTGATTGGATTGGCGACTTGTCCTTCGGCGTGGAGATCTAAAGGGAAGGCCTTTGTCCAGCAGTGGACGTTTTTCAGCTGATGATAATGATAAAAATGATATGATGAGGTCACAATAATTTCATCGCGCAAATAAACTTACAAACTTGATAAACGTTGGGCGGTAGCTAACCAGTCGTCATCTCTTTGCCTGGTCGGAGCATCTTCCCTTTTCTGATTTTAGGGAACTTTATGTTTCCTGAAGTTGTAAACAATGGTATTATCTGTTTATAACCACGTAAATATTTGCTATTTTTATTTCCAGCACGGTCGTCTTCTCGTCTTCCACGCTCTAGCCTACATTACAGCAGCGCGCAGTGGTCTTTCGGAAACCGAACTAGAAGACCTAATCTCCTTGGACGACAAGGTGTTGGATGATGTGTACCAGTACCATTTACCACCTGTTAGACGAATACCACCTTTATTGTGGACTAGGTAAGATCTTTTCTTTATTGACTGGATCAGCATTTAGGTAAACTTCTTTAGGTGGAGGATTAAAGCAACCATAGAGGATGTTACGGTACGTATTGACTTCGATTTGTGCAACTAGTTATTGATTTCTAAGCTGCTTACCTTTTCATTTCTAGGATCCGCAACGATCTTCCAAATTATTTATCAGAACGTGAAGCTGACGGTGTCTCCGTGATGAACTGGTACCACAGACAGTTCCGTGATACGGCACGGGAGAGATACTTCAAGAATATGAACATGGCCATGTACTTCCATTCTATGATCGCTGATTATTATTTGGGTAATGAGTTTCTTCTCTTGAATTTTTTTATGTCGTAGGTCGGCAAACGAGCAGGCGCCTTACCTGATGGTAAGCAATCATCGCCGCCTATCGACACCGGCAACAACAGAGAAGTTACGAGTACGTTGCCGACCTTTTGAGGATTAAGGATTTGGAGATTTAGGAATTGGCGAAGGGGAAGGATTGGGCCTCCAGTAACCTCACTTACCTATACAGCAAAACACAATGCTGTAGTTGTTTCATGCTGATCTTTTGAAAATCCGTGGCAGTGATAACTCCGAGCCGACTCATTTGTTTTGCTCCGATTCTCTAATAATGTGATCTGTTTGACACCATTTTAAATTTTTAGTTCAGTGTGAGTTGCGCACTCTTTACAGAGTAATCCACAACTTTGATTTCAAATGTCCTCTTCATTAACCCTTATGAGGGATGTATTAGAGTGTCTGCTTCCTTTTTTAGAATTGATAATTTTACGTGCTATCTATTCCAGGAATATGGGGTGGTGGGATACCCAAGCCCTTCAAGTATACAGAGATACAGCGTCACCGCTTCAATCTGGCTGACAGAGAGGGTGTGGCTGATAGGAAAGTTCCTCTGCAACCTCTGGTTTTTACCTCTGCTGATGGTGCTAACAAGAGATACAATTTGAGAAAGGTGAATACTATTCATAATTTTAATAAATTTTTTTGACTTTGACGACATCATAAAATTTCTTTAACGCGTAATTTTATCACCTGCGTGTAGTAATCCTGGTTATTTATTATTATTTATTGTCTTTATTCAGAAAGGTAAGTATTTTATAAGCAAAGCGACAAAAGCAGTACGGTACGGTTGTAAGGGTTTTGCGAATTTGTTTTGCTGTACCTAACTGAATGACTGAAATGATTTATCGATTGAATATTGATAATATCAGATGAATATTTGCGGCTGTTTATACAAACCAAAATATAGATGACTATTAAAGCAAACTTTAAAATTATCCTTCCAATATCTACATAGATCTGGTGTGGAAAATCTCAATGACTCTTTTTTTTCAAACCACTTAAGAGTAAGAGCGATTGCTCTTTCAAATTTGGCATAGCAATTTGGCATTCAGATCATTTCTTCAATCAATGTTTTTCTTTTCATTTCCAGTTTGGTGAACTCCCATTTCACCTGGTCAGATCGAAACGGTTCACAGACTTGTACGCTGAAGTACTGTTCAACTATGAATGGCTCCATGCGAAGCTGAACTGCTGTCCTCTGCAAGCTGTGCTGGCAGATTTTGAAGATGCCAAGCTCCATGTTAGTAAGGATGCTGTCAGGTGAATACTTTTGTATTCATATGTGTACATACTAAGTGAAAACTTGATGTTCGTTTGACTTTTTGGTGTTCAAAAGTACCAGTGGTGGTCTATTTGAGTTAAATGATTTGACTTTGACTTTCAAAGAATGGAAATAGTATAAATAGTTACGTCAGATAAAAAAAAAAGAACTGCAAATTTGAAATTCTTGACGTGGATCGATGACATGATCAGATTTGCGAGGAGTTAATGGATTCAAGTGGCGAGTTGTCTTTTAACGTGACAGAGGGGGAGGCCTTTATTCCTCAGTGGACGTCTTTCGGCCATTGATAATGATGATGATTATGCTTCTTATCAAGCATAATATCTCATTATGCAAAAGACTAAAATAGTATTTTAGTCTTTTGCGCTATCGCAGTCTACTCTACTGAAAATCCCAAAATGTTATTGTTCGTAAACCCCTTGATTTCTTCTTGGCAAATCAACCAAATTATCAATAAATAGTTTGAAAAGAAAATATATTGATAAAATACTCCATGATTTCAGAGAGCTCATGCTGGTAGCGGATGCCTTACGTCTGGGAGGTGCGATCCTGGGCACATACTCTGACATGTTGGCTCCTCAGCTAGTCGGCAGACTCCTGCCAGAAGCTCCTCACAATCCTGCAATATCCTCGCTGCTGAAGCAATGTGTTCATAATGGAAAGACTCACTGTGCTTTATTGCCATCCCATCATTGTTTGCACACCCCTGGAGGACCTCTTAAAGTAAGATTTCATTTATTTTTGCAAAATTTATTCTAAATATAACGACCTTTTTTTTTTAATTCCTAACTATTTTTGTTCATTTATGACATACTAGCTATTCTCACGCGGTTACACCTGCTGCTCGATTTAGCGTGGCCTGATCGTAGCGTGATGTTTTATAGCCTATAGCACTCAGAAACATTGTAGCTATCTAAAGGATTTTGGCAATCCGACCAGCGGTTCCAAAGATTACCCCCTACATACAAACTTACAAATATTACCTTAGTACATTTTAATCTATACTAATTACATTAGTATAGATTAAATTCTTTGACAGTTCGAGGGTATAAAAACGACACACGAACACACAAGAAACGTTTTTGAGACAGATTTTCGAAATTAATCTCTGCTCAGTAAATAAGGGACTTGCCTAGTTTCCAACCACGCTAGGTCCATATTCATGACCAGCATTGCGCAACATGCAACGTGGCGAAGGTCAAAAAAACTATTTGCGTCCCTCGTCAAAGAAAGCCATTTACCGTTTTAATGAATATAATAGAATACTATAAAACTTTTCTCCTCAAAACACATACTAAACAATTTCTCTCATTACCTTCCAGTATTCGTTAGAAGGTCACCAGTTCGCAGTCTTCGCGTTCAGGCTGAGCTCTGACAAACGCTACGTGGTCTCAATCTCCAGTAGGGTGATCTCCTGGGACCTGTCCACATCGGACCTGGCGAGGGATCTATGTCCTCAACTCGAGGGCATTATGCAGAACTTGGAATTGTCACCAGATAATAAATGGGCCGCTGCGTCTACTAATAATTCTGTGGTGAGTTACCTTTCATTGATATATAATAATGACGTTTTCTTTTTGAACGAATATCTTTATTTTTGTTTTTTTTTTTGTGGTAGCTAAGATATTAAAAGTACCGTTTCTCATGAAGTGCAGATTTGAAACCTGCCAATTAATTAATATTCGGAATTATGTACAGTGAAACCTGGTTAAGTGAGACATCAAGGGACGTGCAATGTCGTTTCACTTATAAAGGTATTCCACTTACCCAGTGTCTCAGATATACAGGTATAAATAAATATCTGTTTAATTTACAGAGGGTCCCATTAATATAGGTGAGAATACAGGTTATTTCAGTTATACGGGTATATAGTCAGTTATTCAGTGACATAACATGTATATATGTATGTAAATAAGATTTAATAAAAAAAATAGTACTTAAAGGTAATCATAATCACAAACTTTTTCGCGTGTCTTCCCATTTTCATAAACGGATATTAACTTCAGTTTTTCACGTAATGATAAAGCTTTCGTTTTGGCATTTTTCAAATAAACATCTGTATGATAGTAAAGCGAAACTAAAACTGAAGGTAATTGAAGCTCTATAAATTTGTACTTACGTACTTGGAATTACGTGTGGAATTTATGGGTAGAATAAGAATGAGTAAACAAACAATGTTATCTCACTTACAGAGTTTTATGCATATAAAATTTACTCGCTGTCTCAGTTATAGAGGTAACTATGGTGGTAAATCGAAAGAACAAATCCCAGATATACAGGTTTGCCTTCTCACTAACAGAGGTAATTCAGTGCCAAAGTGTTGGGACCTCAGCATGAGTTCCAGTTATGGAGGTTTCTCACTTATCCAGGTCCCACTTAACCAAGTTTCACTGTATTTATATACTCTAAAATTATATAGATACCATGAAACAAGGTGAAGGAAAACGTTGTGAGGAAACCTAGACATAAAATTTCTAATCATTAATTTTATATCACCAATTCGCCTCGAGCAAGTGTGGTGATTATTGCTCAAACTGTTTTGTGTGAAAAGAGGCGTTTGCTTAGCAATAGGAAGTTAATGGCTGGTGACGATAATCTTTATTTTTTTGTGTTTCAGTCGATGCTACTAAATATGCTGACCAGTGAATATATCACAATCGACAATCCACTTAATGAAGGTAAGTGCCAAAAAACTTAAAACCAGACCATTTAAAGAACCAAAACCAATAAAGCCTACCCGAGCGTACGGCGCGTAGCGTTCCGCGCGCGTCTCAATGAGCCAAAAGACCACCACAGCCGGGGCCCTATAGAGCTGATGTTCAGCCGGGGTTGCGGGGTAAGCGCAATGAGGTACCGCGACCTCGGCCCAGAGCAGGAGAAGGAACAGGGGGGTTTTTAGTCAGTAAGAGTCTGACACTCCCTCCCTCCCTGCCCTGGGCGGAAGAAGTCATTTGATGACTTTCCCCTCACAAAAAAAACGTGTAGCTTCCTATTATGGCGATCACACTGCAAAGTGGACGTGGTGGCTAGGCAACCGACTGCTTTTCAACGTCTAAGGGGTTCGTTTCTCGCAAGAAACAAGTCTTTGTGTGATCCATTCTGGGTCTACATAGGTCTGACATTTATGTGAAATTTTACTATCATAAACACACACATATTACAGGATAATAAACCAGTGTTTATTTAAAAAAAGACCAAGACCAAAATGTTTCTCCGAACTCGATGGAACGGCAGTCGGACATGACTGGACCAGGCGCTGAACCAACAGTTTTACGAGTTAAAGTTACATTCTCAACCACGGAAATTACGAAATAAAAAAAGGATATAGAGTTAAAAACGGCTGCTTACTTTCAAGATCTTCAAAGTATCAAACTTAAACATTATTATTCAACAGGTGAAACAGTTCGTGGAGTCTTCGTCCTGAACCACCACATGTTTATCTACGGCCCTCGCTCCTGGGTGCAGTACACCATGAGAGGAGAACACGAGCAGACCCTGCCGGCTCCTGATACTACACCTTATGATGATGTGAACTGGGAAATACTGTGTAAGTATCAATGATTACAATTTATTTATAATCAGTTGTGCCCAAAAATACCCTAAACAAACCGATGCTGTCGAAAAAAATACCTACCTAACAAAAATTACTTTTATTTGGATAAGAACAAAAGAGTGGTAAATAAGGAGTGGCTTTTAATTTTCTAACTACGTGTCCGCTCTTTTAGTTGTTAGTTGTAAAGAAAAGTCTAGGAAACTAATATGTACAAAGCTACACCTTCTACAAAAGATCGAATTTCGTCATACAAAATTGAACAAGTTTTATGTATTGGAGCGCCATGCTTTTATATGCATTGGCCAGCTCAAGCGGAGTGATACTTCGGCTTTAACAGAAAGCTAGCTAGCTCTTCTGGTCTCTCCTCTTCTGATTGTGGGTGCACAATGTCTGAATCCCCAACACCTCTTATCCTCAAAAGGCCAGAAAGGCACTTGCAACTCCTTTAGTGTTGCTTACTATTTTTGTTAGATGGCTAACCATCAGGTAGGTAATCCATACTCCACCTAAAATCTGACTTAACAATTTATTTCATTACAGCCATGGACTTCCGTGATCTAGAAAATTTCTACCTGGTCATGTGGAGTGGAGATCTGGATGAGGACCGGCTTCTGCTGCAATTCTGCAAGAATGGAGAATGGATGAAACCTTTGAGATGTCGTGGTGCCCTCACTATGAACAAGTACTGGACTAAGGTCTATTGCAGTGATCCGGAGAGAGGATACCAGGTGGAATATTATAATATATATATATATTTTTATTTGATATGTCGGCAAACAAGCATACGGATTACCGAATGGTAAGCAATCAGCGCCGCCCTTGGACAACCACAACACCAAAGGATAAGGGTTTCGGATATTTAAGGATTGGGAAGGGATGGGGATAGGACGGGAGATTGGACCTCCCGTAACCTCACTCATACGGCGAAACACAACGCTGTGGTTGTTTCACGCCGGTTTTCTGTGAGGCCGTGGTATCACTCCGGTTGAACTCACTCATTCGTGACGAAGCTTGGCAGTGGCTTGGAAGTGGGGGAGACCCCACTTCATACTAGAACTTTAAAGGCTTTGTTATCATCACCATTAGAAGATGTCTAAAGACGCCTGCTGAACAGAGGCATACTAAAATATTTCCATACCAATAAAATAATCATATCCTTATTGTTGAATTTTCAGGTTACTATCTTCGAACTTAACGTAGAAGAAAAATGTTGGAACAAATTGGAAGAGATCTTTCATCAAGAAACTGATACGGCTGAAGCGATGCTGCAATTGAAACGAGGCAAAAAAGACAGAATGTTACTTGGTAAATAAACTGACTTTACTTTTTATTGGATAGGGGTTAGACATTTAGACAAGCAAGCAGCGCCATTCATGGCTATCTGTGACACCACAGGCACACCAACAGAAGACCAGAAAGACCATCCATCTGTGGAGGGGATATTACTCACAAGACAAGCTCCAACGCAAGTGCTGTGTCATACCAGTTTCATATGAAACCATAGTAGCAGTCCTTTATTTAGCGAGGGTTGCGATTTAGGGTTAGATTTATCTCGGCCTTGACCTGGACCAGGAGAAAGGATGGAGTGGTTTTTAGTTAATAAGAGTCTGATACCACCTCTCACATCAATCAGGACGAGAAGGCACTTGGTGATCTTTTTTTCTCCAAAAAAGAAAAAACTTTATTATTTGACACAGCATTTAACAATCAGCTTAAAAATACAACTGTTCTCAAAACACCGGTATTTTTATTTATGTAATTATTCTAAGAGTTAGATTAGGAGGGTTAGGTCTGGTAATATATTTTGTTCGATATCGCTTTAAGATTTAAATTGTGATTTACAGCTACAACTACATACAGTTTTGTTGTATGGGACTTTGATTGTAAGATACCGAGGGTAAAACCAGAGCCAGAAGTTAAAGAAGATGACGAAAAAGAAGAAAATGAAGAAGTAAGTTAAACTATCACATACATATTACGTATGAAAAATTTAAGTATTTTGAACTTTTATCGGGTAATCTCTGAAACTAACGAAACGATTACAAAAAAAAACATGCACTATTAGCTTATAATTTTTTTTATGGTATAAGTCGGCAAACTAGCGGACGGATTACCTGATGATTAGCAATCGGCGCCGCCCATGGACACCTGCAACACTAAATGAGTTACGAGTGCGTTGCCGGCCTTTTGGGGATAGGGGTTGCGGATAAAAGGATCGGGAAGGGATAGGGGAAGCGGAGGGATTGGGCCTCTGGTAACCTCAATCACACGGCGAAACACAACGCTGGTTGGTTTCACGCCGGTATTCTGTGAGGCCGTGGTATCGCTCCGGTCGAGCCGACCCATTCGTGCCGAAGCTTGGCTCTCCCAAACTTAAATTATTATAAGAAAAAACAAATCCCTACAAAAAACAAGCCAAGCTGTAAAAAGCCGTAGGATGGAGTGCGTTGCGGAAAACATTGATGCGAGAACAAAAAAAATATTATTAGGCTTATCAATATTATACAGTGATACTCCCAGAGCCTGATGTACAGTTATATGACTATTTGGCTGTAGGATTATGACCATAAGATTCTACAATTCCATGATTATAAGATCACACCTGATAAGATATTAGGTATAACTTAAAGCTCAAATACATAGGTACGAACCACTATCATAAACCCTAATTAGACAAATTTAAACGGCACTCATCACCTACTGTTCAGCCGGGGTTGCGGGGTAAGCGCAATGAGGCACCGCGACCTCGGCCCAGAGTAGGAGCAGGAACAGGGGGGTTTTTAGTCAGTAAGAATCTGCCACATCCTCCCGCCCGGCCCTGGGCGGGAGAAGTCATTTGATGATTTTGCCCTCACAAACAAAAAACTCATCACCTACTATGCATATGCCCAGGCACCGACCTTTATGGAATCATATTATGGGATAATTAACCAACATCCACACTCAAAATACACTCTTCCGGTCCGTTAGTTAGCTCCATCGTCCTTATGAAGGAAATTATAGAAAAGTAGAAGAGAAAATTGGGAAATGGAGACATTTTCGTCATTAGCAAAGTAGTTCAATACTCGTGCGAAGCAGGGAGGGGCCGCTTGTTTATATAAAAACCCTATTTAATATCACCATTGCTATAATTTTTTCCAGGAGGAAAAACCAGAGGAACCAGAAATTGACCACCGTGTGCACGGCATTGTACTGAAGCTGCCACACACCATCCGTAACATTTCTACGAAAATGACGCTCTCCAACTCCTTTATGATTAGCAATAACAATACTTATGCTGTGGCTGGAGTCAGGTAATAATGTTCACTTACACATATCGGAATTTAAACACATCTTTATGCGATGGGGTGACAAACGACCAGGTCTAGTTAGCTGATGGTAAGCAATTGGTAGCGCCCATGGACGCAATAGGTGATGCAAGTGCGTTGCCAGCCTTTTTATGTGTTAGAAATTAGAGGATTTGAGGAATTGGGGCAGGGAGGTGGATGGAGCTTCTGGCAGCCTTACTCATACGGTGAAACATAAGAACGACGTGAAATAAACAAACAAACAAACAAATGGCGATGTCAGTGTTCTCTCTGTAAGCGATGTTCCGACCTACAATGGACCACGCTTACGTATAATCAAATTATTCACTCTGGCTTTCAAGACACCCCACAAGGTATTACTTTTCGGAGAACACAAACTCCGGCAAAGAATTTCATTCCTTAACAGTTCTGATAGTAAAACTGGAGGCGAATATTTCCTCTGGTCGAGGCAGTCCATTTGTGCTAAAGAATGGCCCCACATATGCACAAATCTACAAGATCCGTTCATCAGAAGTTCTTATTTTGTTGGTTTGCAGGAAAAATCTCTACGTCTGGAGTTTGGAGACTACAAAACTGATCAAGATCTTAGACGCTCACTTCGGCAGGATAGTTCAGCTGGAACCACTGACAGTAGGTTCCTGGAACAACGTGATCACATCCTCGATCGACAGGACCGTGAAGATTTGGAACATTGACAACATATTTGAACAAGTCCATAAGATAGACCGACAAGAGTTACCTATAGATTCTATCAGGTTTGTTGTCAAGTCTTCAATATTTTTTATGTGGTAAGGCGAAAACGAGCACACGGATTACCTGATGGCAAGATTGCCTGATGATAAGCAATCGGTGCTGCCCGGCCTTTTGGGGTTTAAGGTTTGGGATATATTTAGGGATGTAGGGACGGGAAGGATTGGGCCTCCGTAAACCTCATAGACAAAGCGAAATAAAACGGTGTGAATGGTTCAAGCTGGTTTTCTGTGAGGCAGTGGTATCACTCCGGTCGAGCCAATCCATTCGTGCCAAAGCTTGGCTTGGTAAAGAAAAAACTTCATGCAGTAAGAGTTGGCTATAAAGAGATACACCTATTGTATGTAGAATTTTTTCGAAAGTGGAACAGAACCAATAGTTTAATTGCCGATTGAGCGAGCCGTTAGTCACTCGGCTGCGTGACGTCGCTGTAACGCTCATGAATAAGAGTCGCGTTGTGTCTTGAACCTTGTAGAGCTTTTCTTTTTAATTCTCATTAGTAAGAGCTATCAATAAATTACGATAGTTATAATTTAAAACTTGATTAGGACTGCTATCATAAAACATGAACTATTTCTCTTTCAGTCTAGCCCGTGATAAACAGTTAGCTGTGACAGTGACCCGAAGTTGCTGGGGTCTTTGGGATACCAGCACTGGTAAGCTCCTGGCCCAGCTTGCTGAAGCTCCATTAGGAGCCATCGTTACTCATGCCGTGATAACACCAAGTGGAGATAATGTGGTCACGGCTGAATCTGGAAACATTGTGATATGGGATACTGTTGAGAAACAGGTAATACCTACCAACTACTTATATATTTTAGTTTAAGAACCCACTCTTTTACCTTTGATTTTTTTTATGTGGTAGCTTTTGGGTTACATGGTGAAAAGCAATCGGTGCCGCCCATGGACGCTAGTAATAAAAGGAGTGCTTTGTCGACTTTTTGGGAATAGGATTCCAAAGGTTTAGCGATTGGAGCTCCGGTGACCTCACTCACGCTTTGGTTGTTTTACGCCAGTTTTCTGTGAGCCCGTGGTATAACTTCGGTCAAGCCGACCCATTCCTGCCGAGAATTGGGTCTCCCACACTTACATGCAATTACACCGTTATCATAATCTCGGGTCATCGTACGCAGAAACGAAACTTACTACGTTTTAAATTATTGGAAACTACAAAGACTTTGATTCTGGAAAGGACCAAAATACATTATTTTGAACATGATAAACTTCTTCAACTGTTTTGTTTCACTAAACAATTAAATATTATTTATTTTTTCAAGGTCATTTACAAAGACGAACAAAAAGGCATCAAACAGGTTCTGCTTCTAGAAGACGGCACCAAATTCATCACAATCTCTATGCAAGCGTCTACAGACAACGTGGACAACATTGCCATGGCGAATATCATAGCGAGGACTATTCCTGGTAAATTATTTTTGATATTGTAACTTGTATCGTAGTTAATATTTCGTCACTTTGCTAACAACGCTGCTGAAGTCGAAAATTGGCGGATTTCTCGTTTTAATCCTTTTAGATGCAACTGTTTGTTCTGCATCTAACATTTGATCACGTAAAATAAATTTAAGATGATAAGTAGTGATAGCAGCTTGCCTCCCAACAGTAACTTTTACCGGTGTTTATTTAAATGGTGTTGTTGGGTTTTTGTGAGGGAAAATCATCAAATGACTTGTCCCGCCCAGGTTGAGGCGAGAGGGGAACTCCAGTAAGACCTTAATTAACTTGAGTTGATAAAAAAAATCTGATTTCAGAGGGTGAAACAATCTACAATGCAGAATACGAGCTACGAGGAACTGGGTACAAATCATCGGTTGTGTCTGCGGATGAGCATCATATTGTGGCTCCTGGAGTCGATAAATCTAACAGAGAATGTCTGCATGTATTCCATGCAAGAACTGGTGCAAGATTGCATAGGTAAAGATGACATGTTGTATTTTTTTTAACCATGACTTCGTAAAAAAATTCATTGCAAAAGACTCAAGTTTAGTCGAGTAATCCTAGTAAAGATGTAATCCCTGCTTAAGTAACGTTATTTTCAGGATCCCAATAAAGAACAGTGGTATCAAGGATATGCAATCAATAGTGGCGTTACCACATAAGCCATTGTGGGTAGCTGTGGTGGGCAATGACAAGGCTGGCATTCTGGACATCAAAACTAAAAGACATATTAGGTAAGCAGCTTAAAAATTCCGAGAAAATAACATCCTTTTCGCGATTGTCATAATTGCGAAAAGGATGTATAGTATTATGACTAGAATTAGATTACGATTAGTACTAGTACTACGAGTATCCATACTATCCTTGGTTGACGTTGAACGCTTACCATCGGCATTGTCATTACCGTATGTCCGTGTCGGTGTTTTTTTTTTTTGGTGGTGGTGTATAGTATGGGCAAGTCTACCCTCAAGTTTGAAATATTGCTCATCGAGCTATTGTAGTATTAAAAAAAAGATTTATAATGTTTAACATCGATCGGCTAGTTTCAGTGTTGTAGTTTTAGAAAATTTTATCACTCGCTTGGATCAGTCTTATAGGCTGTAATTTTCTACTACTCTTACTTACAATCAGTGTTTATGAATGGCCTAATCAACAACGTTTTGAAGTCCGAATCATTGATATTCTTTTTTCAGTCTATTCTTACTATTGTACCAGCCATTCTGCTTAAAATTACCAACGTCTTCCAGATTCGTCCCCCGTTGGAACGGTGCCTGTACGCGCGATGGCAAAATTGGACTTTGTGCACCCTCTCGAGGAGGTTTGGACCTAATTGAGCTGAAGAGGGGGACTTCGGTCCAGCAGCTGATATACAGGGCTGCTGAAGGTGTCTTCTCCATCATCACCATGTTCAGTTCCACTGATCAATACGTGTTCTACTACCATAGTGGGAGGAAGACCTTGAGAGTATTTAGGTTCGTAAAATATAGTACTATTGTTGTTTCTGGCACTAAGCTTAAAAATACACACACAATACACACTCATCCTTAGGCGATTAAAGGTTTAAGGGTTCATTCACCGATTGAGATAAAATATTTTTCATACCAGAGTTTCGTGTGAAGTGTGCCTGTTTTTTAACATCTTCGGGTCGAAAAACGAGCACACTGATCACGCTGATCGCAACAACCAAGAGTTACAAGTCCGTTGTCAGCCTTTTGGGGGCTAGGGATTTGACGATTGGAAAGATGAGGGGGAAGGATTTCGCCTCCTGTTTCACGCAAGTTTTTGTAAGGCCGTAGTATCAATCTGATCGACTCTCTCCATACTTTCACCACTCTCATCATCTGGACTTCTGAAATCTGTCAATAACTAATAAGATGTTATGGTCATCGTCATGTGGATCCCATTATTACCAGTTTATCCATCAAAGTCAAAATCGTTTATTTCAATTAGACCCATAACAGGCACTTTTGAACGTCAAAATCATCTGAAACAAATTTAACAACGAGCCGTTCGAGCCGTCTTCTTTGGCACTGCGTAGGGATGTAGCCTCGCTATGTGCCATGCGGATCACTTATGATCTGATTCGATTTCATCCTATCCAATTAAAAATGGACCATATAAGATTATTTTCTTTACAGGACAGTAGATGGCCGTGCCATCGCCGAATATAGGGCACCAGCAGAAGTGACAGGGGTAGCCAGTGCGCATGGAGGAACAGCTGTAGCCATAGCGTCACAAGACGGGTGCCTCACCATCCTGGACATTGTGGATCCACACGAGTAGAGAGAAATTAGGGTTGTGATTAACTTGGCTTGTGATTTTGGTAATAGCCCAGGTTCTTTCAAAAGCTTCTTAACTTTTTTTTCAAGAGCAGTATGTTCCAAAACTAATTTCTGGTAGTTTTTCAACGTTTTTTAAGTGGCCTTCGTATTTGAGTTTTCTTGTGTAAATTCAATGTTTTACTTTCCTTTAGGATGGGGAGGCCATGGGGATTTGGTCTATTCTTTAAGCCCTTTTGAGCTTTGTTTCAAACTAGCTACTCTCGCGCGTTTTCACCCGCTGCTCGGCTCCATTTAATCGTAGCGTGATGTTTTATAGCCTATAGCACCCAGGAACATTATAGCTATCTATCAATGAAAGAATTTTGGCAATCCGACCAGCGGTTCCAAAGATACTTACCTCTTTATAATATTAGTATAGATTTTATGATTACTCAGATTTTGGAAAAATTATAGAAACCTTAGTTTTCAAGAGCTATTGCTCTTGTGTTCTACAACTAATTTCTGGTTGTTTTAAAACTTTGAACATCAGACTCTCTTTTAAAAGCTTTTCGTACCTTGTTTTGTTTTATATAAATTTAACGAAGTAGGTAATGGCGATTTTTCCTCTTCTTCTTTAAACCTCTTTGAGCTTTCAAAATATTTTTTTTTGTATCTGGTATTTCGGATTTCAAAATTGTCCAAAAAGAATTTAATAGTTCCATGCGCGCTTCAAAGAGTCAATAGACCACCACAGACGAGGCCCTGTAGGGCTGATTTTCAGCCGGTGTTGCGGGGTAAGCGCAATGAAACCAATGAGGCACCGCGTCCTTGGCCTTAAGCAGGAGAAGGAACGGAGGAGTTTTTAGTCACTAAGAGTCTGCCATTCTCTCTCTCGCCGGTTGGGACAAGTTATTCGATGATTTGCCCCTGTAAAAAAATAGTTATGTTATTTAGGCTTTGGAATACAAGTAGTAATTATTAGTATGTATTTAAAATTAAAAAAAGATATTGGGCTATTACCAAAACACAATCCTAAGTCGTTTGCTCTGTGATATGTAGGGATGTGAAGTAGAAAAGAATGGGATCTCAGAAGAAATAAGTGGGTAGTGTTCAGAGGTTGTTAGTATACTTTATACATATAAAAGCACCTAGTATTTATGTAGGAATCACTATATAGTAGATACTGTAGACATTATAGTCAGGTTTGAATGTGTGCGGCGTTTGTTCACAAGTCATTGAGTGGTACAAATAAATGAGCCTAGACCAGTTTAGTTCGAAGAAAAAAAGAAACATTTTCGCCCTTATTACAAAAGAAGATTTATCTATGAGTGTAGGTATAAACCATTGAGTCAGGTATTGTAGTTAGAATCTTATTCTCATCTAACTTAAATTTCAAATACAAAAACTGGCTCAATGGTTTACACCAGACTTTTTAAGTTGAGATACTTAATTCTAATTTTAAATCAGAAATTAGCTATAAATCCAAAACAAAAACAATTTAATTTAAAGATAATTCAGATTAATTTTAATTCAGAAAGTACAATATTGCTTAGTTCAACAAATGATACAATGTATAAAGCAAACACGGAAACTTATATTATACTAGCTTTCACTAACGGCTTCGGTTGCGTGGTATATTGATGTAAAAGCAGCGTATACGTTAATCTACCCACATACTAAATTTTAACCAAATTGATACAGTCGTTTAGCGTGAAAGAATAACAAACATAGACCTATGCATTCTCAAAAACTTTGACATTTGTAATATTTCTAGGATTTTTTCTTTGACGCTGATTAAGAAAAAAGTATGTATTTGAACAAACGCCAAAAAATACCGATTTAAAGATCTTTCTAGCATTTAATTTATTTATTTATTAATATAAGTAAGTTCTTAATTAAATATTATTGTATCTTGTTGCATGGTAGATTCATATACTATGCCTTATATTGCAACTGTCCTATGAAGACATCTCAATAGATACAGAACAAACAGAAAAATGCTAGCTATAATTATGCTATCTATTTTTTAAATTCTGCCAATGAAATCATTTCAAAAACGAACAGATAGGTAATTTTTTAAAGTAGGTAAATATGGTAAGATGTACAATTTTTTGTTGAAAATAATGATTTGCTCACGTGAATTAACCATGAAAAGCTCAACTAGTTTCAAGTCACTTCGGGACTCTTATTCGTAAGCAGCGTGCGCGTCGAAGCGAAGCAAAGTAAGTCATAATTTTCAATAAAAAAATATTAAATGTTTAATGTTTTCATAATATTTAAAGAAGAACGTGAACAAAAAAAAATCTGTTTTTCTTTATTTTTTTGTTAAACAATTTATATTGTAATCTTATTTACCTCATGTAAAGAACAGTACCTGCATTCATGAAACTATAATACCTCATCAAACATTACTATTTAATTATAATAATAGTTATCTATATTGTAAAATATTATAATATCTATGACAATATGCGATCAAAATTGTAGAATACAAATGTATATTAAGTATAATTTCAATGCATTAGTCAATTTTTCTTTTCTTTTTTATAAGTTGTACCACCAAGCCTTTTTGCATGTATTGTGTACGGTTTTTAAACATGCGATTTCACACCCAAACTTCACAAACAGACTCGGAACAATAAATAAAATGATACAATACATATTTTTTTAAACTCCAGATCTCATAAGTCTTTTATTTTGCTGTGCCCTACAGGGTCCACGGTTGTACTTAGCTCTAAGCCATTCTGTAACACCTCTTATACATTGTGGAATGCAAATAAATATGAATATGAATATGAATAAGTTTCATCTGAACTCTGTTTAAGATAAGTAATAAAAGTATACTAAAATTAAATCATTAAAAAAACTTCGTTTATTTTTTTACTACCACACTAGCTTTTGCCCGCGACTTTGTTCGCGTAGAATAGTGACTTCCTGCAGATTTTTGGTTTAAAAATTATCTTATGTCCTTTCTCGAGTTCCAAACTATGTCTGTACCATATTGGCGTGAAGAAAAGACAGACATACAAAGTTACTTTCGCATTTATAATATTAGTTTGGCTATTTATTATTTTGATCGCGTAAAAAATAATCAAATATTATACTTACTATCAGTGCAATATCAGATATTTAAAAATAGACAAAGTAAGGGTCTAACTATGTCTTATTGATATGTTTAAACCTATATAACAATAAATACTACATAATAATTAAACCATTGTTTTACTTCACACAACTTTATTAGTATGTACACTTAAGGCATTTGTATTATACTTTGTTAGGTATCGTAATACGAGGGATGATCTCCAGCCACCGTAAGCGCGGGTCTGCGGACGGCGAGTAAGGGTAGCTCGCCGCCCGACCAGAACCAGACCCGAGCGTACGGCGCGTAGCGTTCCGCGCGCGCCTCAAAGAGCCAATGGACCACCTCAGACGGGGCCCTATAGGGCTGATGTTCAGCCGGGGTTGCGGGGTAAGCGCAATGAGGCACCACGGTCTTGGCCCAGAGCAGGAGAAGGAACGGGGAGATTTTAGTCAGTAAGAGACTCTCTCTCGCCTTACTCTAAAAAAGGCAAAGTCATAAATAAGGGCGTATAGGGGTACATACACTGTAATAATGCCCTCACAGCGATATTGCAGCTGCATCGCCAGTTATGCATCACTTAAGTTTTTGTTGCGTCTACGCGTCAATGCTAAGCAGAGTGGGTAATAGTCGTAACACCATTCTAAGGATGGTAGTAGACGGTAGACTAGACTGCCTGTACATGTGTCGATATATCAGTACTCGTACAGGCGCAGATACCTGAAATCAGGGATCGGGCATAGGTCTTATGGACATGCACGTTAAGATATACCACTCACACTAGTCGTAAGTCTAATAATATTAACCATTCAGGTTTTTTGTCCTAATTGGGTAAATAAGCTTGCGGATTACCTGATGGTAAGTAATTAGCACCGCCCATGGTCACTCGTATTACGATACCTTTTTTTTTGTCAGGGGAAAATCATCAAATGACTTCTACTGCTCTGGTTCTGGTCGGGGGCTACCCTTACTCGCCGTCCGCAGACCGGCGACTGTACGCCCCAGAAGTATAAACTGCGCGTAGGCTGCAGGTGTAAAAATATGTTCAAAAGGCTCGAAAGAGTGTAATTTTAATGTCCCTGGTATACCTATAGCGCCAACCTGCGAGCGATCAAAATATATTTACTCTAACGGAGAGTGCCCTAAGTTCACGCTCAGGTAATTAGATGACCTAGGTACTTTTTTATGGTAAATAAGTCGGTAACAAGCAGACGGATTACTTGATGGTAAGAAATCGGCGCCGCCCATGGACACCCGCAACACTCAAGGAGTTACGAGTGCTTTGCCGGCCTTTTGGGGATAGGGGTTGCGGATATAAGGATCGGGAAGGGATAAGGGAAGGGGAGGGATTGGGCCTCCGGTAACCTCACTTACACGGCGGAACACAACGCTGTGGGTTGTTTCACGACGGTATTCTGTGAGGCCGTGGTATCACTCCGGTCGAGCCGACCCATTCGTGCCGAAGCTCGGCTCTCCCACACTTTAAGTTGGTCTGATAAAGAGTCTGTCAAACTAACAGTATTAGTTTTATTTTAGTTCCAGGTTTTGTTATATGGCGGCGCTGTAGGCGCTATTGTTCTTGATTTGAATTCTTTTTTAAATTATAGTAATGTTGTATCTATTATTTATTGCTATGAAAATATACTTAGGAATAAAAAAAACTAAATCTGAAGCTTTATCTGGTCAATAAAACAAACTTTCAAATTATACTTAATCATACTTTATTGTTTAAGTCTATACAATTATAAATACTACGTATATCTATTGATTTATTTATGATACATTATTATTCAATTTCAATGTTTCTGGCACAAATAAAACTATTTATAAGTAAAATAAATTGTAAATGAAAATTACACATCATATCAAAATTATTTCCAAATAATATTCAGTTTAAAAAAATCTTGACATTATAAAAATAACAATATACTGCGTTTTATGTTAAAATGCAAATGCCAATTTAATATGTAGGAACTAAAAAAAAATCATCGAGCATTTTCTAAGCCCTTACTTATCTGAAATATTAAATACTTAGATATTTTATGGATATGTAAACAATAAAAAGCACCTTTTTCACTCAATACTATACTTTTCATTCAATACAATTATGTTCTTTTACGGTATAAGTGATCAGCCAAGTCCACACACACCCACAACACATAAGAAGTTACAAGTGCATTGCTAACTTTAAAAATATTATGACGATATCGAAAAAGTATGGTTACAAAAATAAAAATAAATTCTTAAATCTAGTAAGCTTAGTTCGCACTGCTATTTAGCACCACAATTGTTAACTAAATTCAAAAAAAGAATAGTTTTTCAATTCCATTGCTTTTTTTCTTTTTTTTGTATTTCATTTATCGCAGTACGAACTAAGATATTAAACAAAACAATACTGAATTCACAGAATGCAGTTTTTTTTATTTGATAAGTAGATAATTATAATAATAATGAGTTGTAAAACACAGAAATAAACGCTTATTGATCCCAAATTTATGAACCATAATGCAAAAATGGTATAATCGTGATCCTACTCAATTCACTGGCAGTCGTTAATAAAAAAAAAGTTTTAGAACATCTTTATTTGTAGTGTAAAAGAAAACAATGTCGGTTTCGTTGTGCGTAAAATTTCAAAAATCATAGATTATCAGACAAACAAAAAAATAAATGCTGAAAAAATATAACACATAAAAAATGTGCCACTTTTGCTTGCCAGCAATGATATTATAAGTAAAAAGGTGCAGTTATTGACACAACTAGTGAAATTCAATACTTTTATCCAAATGTCAAAAAAATACTTTCCTACCTATGTAATTTTTATGAATCTCCATCCTATATTATCGTAATATTTACGCATCAGATAGTATAATTTTATCAATAGCATTATTTTAACATAGGAAACTACCCAGTTAACCACACTTTTACATATTTGTCTCTTTTTCACTCGCGATTATCGAATCATGCCATCCCGCTTTGACATCTAACCATATGAGTTATTTATTAAAAATGTGCAATCGCTAGCCATTTTTGAAATTAGAATGTTGTTTATGTAACCTATTTACTCCTTTTTTTTCTTATAATATTATTGCTTGCCAGTTTTTTTTTTATTTAAAATTCGTACTCGCTGACGTAAATAAAGAGTTTGGCGACGGCCGTGCCTCCAAATTGCTCGTGGGTATAAAGCTCCATTGACATTTCCAGTTCTATACTCTGTGGTCCTTCTAGCGGTCGAACAAGTGACGTCAGACCTTCGTTATTGTTTTGTGTTAATCTGTGGAAGAAGTTGTTATATTAGGTCTAAATATTGAACTAGTTGAATAACCATTCATTATCAATCATCCATCACCCATCATCCACCACCCATCACCCATCATCCATCACCCATCACCCATCACCCATCACCCATCATCCATCATTCATCATCCATGATTCATCATCCATCATCCAAAATCAATAATCCATCATCTCTCAAGCATCATCCATCATCATTTATCTCCATCCACCATAATCACCACCTATCATCAAAATAAACTAAACTTACAAAAAGTCGTGTATCTCAGCTTTTCTCTTGACGCTGGGTGGTGCGTTCACATTGATCAGCTTCAGCTCAAACCGCATTTTAACGTACGGCCAGACAGGGCCTCGCATTGTGAACAGTTTTAACTGTAAAATTAATAAAATGCATTAAAATGAGTTAAGTAAATTGTACGTACACAGTACAGGTAAAAACTCTACAAAGATTGCCCAAATAAGCAGTTTCCCACATTGTCTTAATAACAATTTATTGGCTTTTGTGATACCTTATGTTTCCGACTCCCCCCTTCCCTATCCCCAATTGCTCCAACCCTCAATCTCCGTAAATGCCGGCAACGCACATGGAACTTCTCTGGTGTTGTGGGGTGTCCATAGGCAGCGCTGATTGAAAAAAGCCAAAGCCAGTGTGGGAGAGCCATCTTCGGTACGAATGTGTGGCTCGACCGGAGTGATACCACAGCCTCACAGAATACCGGCGTGAAACTACCACAACGTTGTGTTTCACCGCGTGTGTTCATCCCCAAATCTCCAAAACCCTAATGCCAAAAGGTCAGCAACACAATCCTCGTTTGTTGCGAGTTGCCAAGTTCGGCGCTGATGGCTTACCATCAGGTAATCCGTCTGCTCGTTTGCTATCCTATCACTTAAAAAATCCAAACTTTGGAAAAGTATTTTTCACCTTACCTTGGTGTCGGGTATGTAAAGGTTAGACACAAATGTGATGAAGTTATAGGATATGGTGGTGGGCTGATGAGCGCAGTTCCAGTCTCCCGGCTGACAGACTCGCTCCACTTTGTTACAGCGACTGAAAACAACAAACACACATTAGGTGTTACAACACAAGTCTTTTCGGGTTTAAATATAATGATCGCCAAAAATGTTTTGTTACCCTCATTTTTTGCACTCCAAATTGTATTCGAACACCAATAGTGTAAAAAATAAAAAATAATTTTGGAGCACCACATATGGATAAGTAAGGTTAGGTTAGAATGATTCTTGGCCCTTTTTTTGTGATGGATAATCACCAAATATCTTCTCTCGCCTAGAGTGAGGCACGAGGAAGTGTCCTCCTACTGTAAGCCGAGGCCTTGGTACCTTATTGCGTTTGCCCTGCAACCCATTGACTCATTGAACATCGACCATGTAGGGCCTCGACTGTTGTATTCTTTTGGCTCTTTACGGCGCGCTTGGAACGGTTCGCGCCGTGCTCTGGGGTATGATTCTGGTCGGGTAGCGAGCTACCCTTGCTCGAAATAAGCAGACCCGCGCTTCCGGTGGCCGGAGATCGTCGTGCGGTCCCCGACTACGTCCTTACTGCGACAGCTGTGGCGTGAGGCGGGCGGGCGCGTCACATCAAACATAACGTGGTCAGTAAATATTTATGATTGGTTAACTTCACAGGAATTATGGATACATACACAGAAATATTTTTTATTTAATACCATACGACTTTAGTTCTTAAGCCTAATTTGTGAATATAATTTTCTATAAAACACTCACTGCTTGTTTTCAAGCTGGTATCCAACGGGACAAGAGATATGCTGACAGCGGTAACTGCCACGTGTGTTGACACATACGTCACTGGACGTGGCAGAGAAGGAACCTTTCGCGCAAAGAGCCTCGCCTGTCTCGCACTCATCAATATCTGAAATCAAATATATTATTGTTTTTAAAGTACATACACGTAATTTTTCGTATTTTCCTTGATCATCAACGGATTAATTTCATTTTGGAAGTGATTTGTTGAAAAATACATTTTTTTTTTTGGGACAAGCCCACCGCAACCTTTTATAAACCACTGCAACTCCTAAACACTGTAATGACTGTCTGACGAAATTAATCAGAAGATATTATTTGAGGAGAAGAGAAACGAAATAGTTTCTCCTCATCAAGAAAAATACACTTACCAACACAGCTTCTCTTGTCTTCTGATAACCGGTACCCTGAGGGACAGGCACAGCGGTAGCTTCCCGGCTCATTAAGGCAGCGTCCCACACATGGGATTTTCGACCTGAATTCTGTGCACTCATCGACATCTGAACATGTGCTGCAAGAATAGAAAAGATTTCGTTTTCATTAAAAAAAAACGTATAAAAGTATAGACAACGGTTTATTTTATATTTGGACAGATTAATAAAGCATCGAAAAATGCCATTACACACAATTAGTAAAAGAAAATAGATCCTTTGGCTGCGTCATGGTAAAATTCGCAGCTATAATAAAAAAACCTGAAGTAATTTACCCTTGAATTAAAAAATCAAAAACTAATTACCTGTTATCAGGGTTGAGCCTATATCCTCTGTGACAAGCACATCTGTAAGAGCCCCAAACGTTGTTGCACCTGTGCTGGCAAAGGGATCCTGGCCGGGATTCCATGCACTCGTCTACGTCCACACAAACCTGATGAAGAAGGTCCAAAATTAAAAGAAGATTAAAGAGAAGAGATGGGATTAATAATATAGTACAGGTAGAATAATATTAATGAAAGGTTAAAAACGTCAAAGCAGTTTTTAATCCTCAATAGGTTTATTTGACCACAAAAAAAATTACACAGAAAAAAATACAATTCAAACACACACGAAATCCTTCGTACTTACGTACCTTATCGTTAACCGGTGCAGATCTGAATCCAACATGACATTTACATTGATATGAACCAATTGTGTTCACACAATCCGCGTTTTGAGAGCAGACGGGCTGAAATCAGAAAAAATATTGTTATAACAAGATGCCTATTTTAAATTATGCTCTTATTAAAAATATCTACACTTAAACTAATATCATGAATAGCCTATAAGTGTCCACTGCTGAGCAAACTCCTCATACTAATAAGCGAAAATGAAATCAGTATTATCTCTTCTCTTCATCATCTTTTTTCACTTACCAAATTTCCAGCCAGCGCACATTCGTCCACATCTTCACACTCATGGTCTCTGACCAGGCGATGTCCATGAGGGCAGTTGCAGGAATATCCTCCAGGAAGATTAGTACAAATCTGCTGAGGTCCACATTTCGCTTCCCCGGTGAGACATTCATTGACATCTGCATGTTACAACAAAAATTGTTTGGTCTTATTTATTATTTATGTTATTATAAAAGTGTGTGCTTTACATCATCATCATCAGCCTCATTCCATCCACTGCTGAACACAGGCCTCTGCCATTGCACGTCACTGAGCGCGATGTTCACTTTTTCGCATCCTACTGCCAGCCACCCTACATACCCAAGCTTTTAATTACCTCAAATTACCTACCCTTTTGTTTGAGGAGGAGGAACACTTATCATCAAGACTCTAACTGACTTTACAACCACCCTGTGCCTTTATCTGCTCTGAGCCGGGGCGTCGGTTTATTGTTGCCTTAGCAGCCGCAACTCCGGCTGGATACAGATACATTCATCATAACTTACTGTCCCGGCGAATAGAAGATCTAATTTATAATTCAGCAATTGTTTCCAAATAACAATTGAAATGTTCAATAATTTCCGTACAAGCCTTATTCCATCATAAGCTCACCCAATCTTAGAATAAATCCAATGTCTAAAAATAAACCAATAGTATTAAAGTATCTAAACAAGGTACCTACCAACGCAGGTATTTTCATCTCCAAGTGTATACCCATTTGGACACCTGAACACAGAGCCACGGTCATCCACCTGTGTTATCTCAGGGTCCACGTATTTAGTGCCAGTTGTAGGCACGTTGTTTGGAGGTATCGATGGGTACACTGAAATAAGGAAAACTTTTAAGTTTGCCTCGCCTATCTTACGAGTAAGCAATATTTATATCCTTTTAACGTGTGGCGATGCACATAGTAACGACAATATTCAATAGATGGCATATATACATCCTGGAAATGTGTAAATTTGTTAGACATAACGAAAAACTTTACATTACCCGCGAAAACACACAGGCTCACTACACCCTACGACACAAAAATAGACTAATCCTACCAGGTTCTAAGCTAAAAATACACTCCACAAGCACTTTAGTAATGGCAGCTAAAATATATAATAAATTACCAGATGACATTAAAAATGAACAAAAATGTAATATCTTGATAAATAAATTAAAAAAACTTTTAATACATAAATGCTATAATGTACAGGAATATTAAGTAATCTATACCTAATAACAATTATAATGTATTTGTACTCAATTAGTTATAAGTTATATAAGCCTATCTACATAAAAATAATGAAAAATTGTAAACATATACTTATACTAGCCCTCCTCATAAAAAAATACTACTATTGTTATGCCCGACAGGGCCCACAATGCTCCTAAACTAATATAAGTATGTAAATCCTTATGTACCCTACCACCTAAGTTCACATTGTGGAATGCAATAAATATATTTAGTATTGAGTATTGAGTAACAAGTCCAATATCACACGAGTGAAGTTTTCGCGCAAATAAACATGGATAAAAATCCCAACGTACAACCTGGTGGGCCAACATGTGTACGCTGATTACAACGCCTGGTCAGAGGATCCTCCTTTTCCGATACATAATCATCCCCACTGTGAAGATCCCAAATACTCTTCCAACTGTTTAGCCAAAAGACTAGAGAAATATTTAAAATCACCCTCAATCGACGAGCATGCGTGTAGTGAAAAACGTATGTCAGAATCGCTTCATTTAAGATGCCCTTGTCACCCCGATTTAAGGCAGGCAAATATCATTATTAACATAGGAAAAGATCAAGACATAAACTAAATTTCTCTAAGCAATGATCGTCGTGAATATTTATTTTCATTATTATATTTCTACCCGAATTCCTATCTACACATACTCACCAGGTTCATTTCCATATCCAGTTGGGAACTGCCCATTGTTTTTCAACGGCACACATCGATGCCTGACCTCATCCAGTCTCCAGTTGGGAGGACACTCACACCGGTACCCTCCAGGAGTGTTGATACAGATCTCCACTGCAGCACAGTTCGCTTGTCCGTTTGTGCATTCGTTTATATCTATGGATTGGTAAGATTTGATTAAGTTGGATTTTTAAGTATGACTGCTGTATGTAAATAAAAAGGTTTTTTGGTAGATAAATTGAATTTCATTTTCAAAATTCTGAAGCCTTACTCTTCTCTTACTCTAATCTTTTTCTTACTATAGGATGTTTTAGGAGTCTTTTGTAAGACTTTTTTAAATGTATAGCATAAAAAATACTCTAACCGATACATTATACATGTTGTACATAGTAATTGATACATACATACATGATAAACCTCTATAAAACTAATGGATTCCACTAAAATATTAAGTATTTAGTATTGATATGTTTTAGCAACAGACAGAAGGGCACAATGTACTTCTCTCCGTGGTTTCAGCCCTGTCAATTTTTAGTACGGAATATTTTTTTTAAACTTCTAAGAAGCTTTATGTAGATATTATGCAAGTTTATTTGTCATACCTTCACACTCGCCAGTCTTAGAGTTGTGGTGGAATCCTGCATCGCAGAGGTTTCTTGGACGGAAAGGTCTTGCAGTGACACGATACTCTGGATATCCCCAAAAGAAGGAACGCTCTACAAAGAAACATAAGAAATATTAGATTTTTAGTTATATGGAAGCTACAAAGGGTTTCAATAGAATAAAATACGTATATCCAGATCATATAGACTAAAGTGTCTGTAGAACTTATCTTCCAAGGCACGTCTACTACTCAAGCACAATAAGAATAAATGTATGCCAGAAAATTATTTAAAAAGCTTACTTGTAGATGAAGGTACATGAGACGCGGGAGTAGTAGTGGTAGAAGATGAGGTGGTAACGAATTCACAGGACTTGGTGATCAGGTCGCGTCTGAACCCTGGGGCGCAGTTACATGTGTAGCCTCCAATGGTGTTCTTACATACTTCTGTTAGACCGGAACAGCTGTGACGGTTTGTCGCGCACTCGTCGATATCTAAGGATAATAAAGTAGTGTAGGGCTAGGAAAATGTTAAGTACACTGCTCTCATAATATCATTATGTACTTCCAGATAATTTAAACAATCATGCTACCTATATGTTCCAATTCATTTATTAGATAGTCAGAGTCAGTGGTACCGAAGATGTATACTTATATTTTTCTGACACTCCTTCGCATTCCATCTAAGGCAGGAGAAGTCAGTACTAGTAATTATTTTTTTTCCCAAAAGGGTTAACTAAAAATCTTAGACCACACAAAAGTAAGCTTCAATAAAGTTCTACAGAGTATTCCAAAGGCAATGTTATGTTATAAATATTTTTTCTTACCAAAGCAAGCTCCATATTCGTCAGGTTCGAAGCCGGGTGCACAGCTGTTAGGCACGTTTACTTTAGTCCATTGATTTTTAGGGACCTGTTGAGTGTCAATTACATATGACCCATCATCGTTCTTCTCTGCAGGAAGAGTGGCAGTTTCTTTACCCACACTTACAACTACCTGATAGGGCGGTGAAATCCGTGATTCTTCAGTAGGTCTATACGTAGTTTCTGGTTCTACTGGGGGTAAAGATTCATTTGTAGGTTCTTCTACTCTTGGAGGATATGTGGGTTCTGGTTGCCGATGAGGTTCCTCTGTTGGTTTCGGTAATTCTGCTTCAGGAATGTATTCGGGTGGTGTAGGACGGTTAAAGGTCACTTCTGGTTGTCTTGGTTCTTCTGTAGGTTCCGTTTCTGGTTGCTGAGGTACCGTTGTTGGTGGTTCTGATGTTGTTGATGGTGCTGGTATAGTTGTTGGTTGTGTTTCATATTTAGGACTACTTGCTTCATTTTTATATACATCTGGTATGTTATAGGGAGGTGGTTCTACGTTGTTGTCTTCGATTCTCGGTTCAGGCTCTACTGGTTTTTCTGTGGTTGTACTCGATGTAGGTGGCGGCACTGGCTTTGGTGTTTGAGTCGTTGTAGTTGATGGTTCTTGTGGTTTAGTGTTGTTGGCATCTGTTTCTTCCCTAAAATTGAGGTATTTGTTTAAGGGCTGTTTTTTCAATGGTTAGATAGAAGTTACCTGGGGAATAATTATGATGCTGTCGCGTCAGAATGTTTGTATAAGACAGTGACAGCAACAATTTTACGCCTCAGACAACATTTAGACTATTGAAAAATCATCCCTTAATAAGTTAAAATACATTATTGGTTATACATTTTTTGTAAATCGTGTACAGTACATTCCGCATTTAAAAACAAAGACACAAAGGGTATTAATATTCTTTTTGAGACTTTTCGTGTTGTTTGTTTTTTTTTTATTTTGCTTTTACAAAAACGTCGCTTCAAACTAGGATTTTCTCGACAACCATTATTACCACAGAAAGCAATTCATTCGAAACAACTACATATTTATAAATCACACAAAGTCTTCTTCCGTGCGGGAGTCGAACCCGCGATACGTTGCACAGCCACTGCGCCAACCGAGCAGTCAAAAGTAGATCGATTTATGGTTGGAAGTGTACAATGTCGTGATACATCATTCTTTTTTATGTATACTAGCTTCTGTCGCGCGGTTTTTATAAATCGTAGCGTGATGTTTTATAGCCTCAGCCTTAGCCTTAGCCATAATTATTCAATTTGTAGCAGTTTTGCAGATTAGTGCGTTCAAACAAACAAACTTTCCAGCTTTATAATATTAGTATAGAAAGTAAAGATAACACATAGGATATAAGACTTACTCTGAATCATAGTACTCGTATTCATATTCTGGCGCGGGCGTGGTGGATGTGGTGGTGGTACGTTTGCGTACACATCGGAATGAACCACGGAGGTTGAAGCAATGGTAGTCTGGGCCACAGTTGTCGGTGCCTAGACCGCACTCATCGATATCTGTAAAAATGAAACAGTTTAATTTCTTAACATTTTTTATTCAAGGTTATTGAAAATCTAATCTTTAACTGCGAGAGTGTTATATGCCTCGGCACGAATGGATCGGCTCGATCGGAGTGATACCACGGCGAAACAACCGCAGCGTTGTGTTTTGCCGTGTGAGTGAGGTTCCCGGAGGCCCAATCGTTAACCCCCAACTCCAGAATCTCCAAATCCCTAATCCCTAAAAGATTCTCCTGTGTCGTGGATGCGTTTACAAACATACACATTCACATACGCAAGGCACCCAGACACGAAACCACAACTTGTAGATCACATAAAGTGTTGTCCCGTGTAATTTGGGAATTAAACTTCTAACACGTTGCAAAGCAGTTGATGACTAAGTCACTGCATCAACTATGCAGATCGATTTTAAGTTTATAGCTTTCCATTTTTCATCATCATCAGCTTGATGTTCATCCATTGCTGGACATAGGCCTCCCCAATTGCACGCCACTGAGCTTGATTTTGCTCTTTCCTTTTTTATTGATAGTTTACCTTCACATTGCCCAGTGGAATGATGGAGAACGTATCCAGTTCCACAGGAAGTGATTCTAATACACAGGTAGGAGCCAACCGTGTTGTCGCACCGCTGGGCCTGTGGGATACAGTCGTGTTGGCCTGTTGCGCACTCGTTCACGTCTGAAAACATTAATTTGAATGGATTATTAAATAATTTAGAAAAACTGATGCTAGTTTTTTGTTAGAGACTTTCTAATTTGCAAACATTTAGATTATTTATCGTTTACAATTATTCATTTGCATATCGCACCCTGACCAGAGAACAGAACAATTTGTGGATCTCAAAAAGGTTATTCCGTGCGGGAATCAAACCCGCGAAACGTTGCTTGACAGCTGGTAGCTTAACCAGCGTCAACTATGATTGGCATAGCCGTCCTTGACCGGTGTCCAATTCATCAAGCCCTCAATCTTTGTTTGAATACGAATCTATGCTGATAAATCTGTAAACTAACTTTAGGAAATTATAAAGAATCCTTAAAAAAAAGTGTGGGAGAGCCATGCTTCGGCACGAATGGGTCGGCTCGAGCGGAGTGATACCACGGCCTCACAGAAAACCGGCGTGAAATAACCACAGCGTTGTGTTTCGCCGTGTGAGTGAGGTTACCGGAGGCCTATCCTTCCCCTCCCCCAATCCCTCCTAAATCCCTAAATCTCCAAATCCCTAATCCCCAAAAAGGTCGGCAACGCACTCGTAACTCCTCCGTTGCGAGTGTCCATGGGCGGCGCTGATTGCTTACCATCAGGTAATCCGTCAGCTCGTTTGCCGACCTATTAAATAATAAAAAAAACTCTACTTCACTTACCAACACAAGCTCCAGTAGTGATATCCAGTTCATATCCCAACTTGCAGTAACAGTCGTAGCTACCGTTCGTGTTTAAACATTGCTGATGCTGGTCACAAATGTGGGTCCCTTCTACACATTCATCGACATCTGGGAAACCAATAATAATATTGTTTAGTTTAGCAAAAATAATGAGACATAGTGAAGGAGTGATTTGAACGATAAAGGACACTGAGGTTTGTATGATATCAAGCCGGCGCACTCAGAGCCATTCAATTGTTAGTTTTTACATCTATTGACTGCCTTTTGTGAGGTGAGAGGGAGTGTTCTCACCCTCCTATTAAAAAAAAGCCACCTCGTTCCTCCTCATGGTTTGAGTTGGGGGAGGGTACATTATTTTATTATTTTCTTTTAAAAAGCTCTAATAAACTAGGCTTTTCTCCTGTGTTCTGGGTGCGTTTACAAACATACGATTTCACATGCACATTACAATCAGACTCGGAACAAAACATTTGTGCATCACACAGAGTTGTTCCAGCAATCGGACCCGAATTATGTTGCGCAGCTGCCAGTTGCCCATCCACCACGCCAAACGTGCAGTCAAAACATATTTATTTCTACCTATAGCGAAACCGGTGATAGTCACTTAACCCAGTCGTTAAAAATTATTTTGAAAACTGTTACTATAGAGCACTTTTAAGTAATGATTAAACCAATAAAAAAGAAAAATGATGTGATGAAGAAAAGAAGAAGAAAACGGAATTGTACCGACTTTAAGTGATTTGGAATGAGGGCAGAACACAGAAGATGTCATTAATAACAAAGAAAATGAATAAGAGCTCCCAAATGTGTTTATAATTCTCACCTTCACAATGATGAGTAATTGCGCTCATTCTCATACCATCTGGACATCTTGTTTTGCTGAAAAATACAGAATAAATTAATTCATAATTTTATTTAATAGAGTCCCAATCATAGTAACTAAGTATCACCAATACCGCAAAACACATCTGATCAAGGTAGCTTCTAGTGGATATTATGTCATAGTTTGTACGTGATGTGATGGTGGCCCGGAGGTTAAGGCGCCCGCTTCTCAGTCATGAGGGTTGGTTCGAAACCTGGCAAGTACCAATGTGACTTTTTCCGAGGTATATGTACATTCTATGATTATTTAGACACCACTGACATACGGTGAAGGGAAAAATCGTGAGGAAATGTTGCCAATGCCAACTGCTAATTAGCCGCCTTATCACATAAAAATATTAGTTTATTTATGAGATCGATGACTTAGAGCTATTTAAAGAGCTAAAGCTACTTTATATAGCTCATTTTATTTATCTGGAGCTTTTATAGGAGCTTAAGCTACACTTTACCTAGGATCATCTTTAGCTTTGCAGTCGTATCTTCCTAATTGATTGACGCAGACTTGGTCAGGACCACAGTTGACACCTCCTTCTTCACATTCATCAATGTCTACAAAAAAAAGTTAGGTACAATAAATTGTTAAATTTTTAAGGCTCTATACCCGGTTTCTGAAAGGCTTGTCAACGCTAAAATTAACTAATCTCCTGTTAAATCTCTTGTTAAGTCATCTGATTGGTTGTTGATAATTCAGTCAACCATTCAGATGACTTGACAAGAGATTAAATTGATTTTAACATTGATCGACCTTTCAGAAACTGGGGGTAAGACTTGTAAATTTTTTTATATACAAAGAAAATAAAACATTACAGAATGTAAAGCAAAACTAGCCACTGCCGATAAGCCTATACTAATGGATTGATAATATCGAGATCAAGTTCAAAAAGTTAGCCATGACCGAAATATGTGCAGCTCTAAAATATCCAGTTGTCATGCATTGAAAAGGCAAACGTGTATTGTCATTATATCTATGATGTTACAAAAATAATTAAGATGTTGATGATGAATTTTAGCAAATAAATTTAATTAAAATAAGTTCAGAAATTTAACCAAAACTTACCTTCGCACTTATTAGTCTTGGGATCCAGCTTGAACCCAGGAGGACAATGCTTGGAGACCTTATCCTGGCAGTAAAAGGAACTGTGCGTGTTGATACAGAACTGAGACAGCGGATTGCAGTCATCTTTACGAAGAGCACATTCATCGACATCTGCAAAGGAAAGATATTTTATAAGAAGATTTTTGGTTGAGATTTAGAACTTCTTCGTCAAGTTAGGTATTCTTTTTGATATTAAGATTATCAATATGTTACTAAATAGAAGTGTGCCTAATGCTTAACCATAGGCAGGAGCCTACAATAGCTTTGCATGCGACACATAAAACACCTGGTTAAGAGTTTAGAGAGAGTCAAAAGTATATTTTCCGCTGCCTTCTTCTTTAATTAATTTTCCTTAATCTTTGTTTTATATAAAGCAAGTTTAGTTTTCATTTTGCATTGGTTTTTGATCAACATAAAAATCAACACCAAACCTTCAACAAATTTTTGGGAAATTTAAAGCTCTGGACTAACTAAAACCTTTAAGGGACACCACGTCCTCACGATACACTAATTCCATAGCACAGGTACTTCAACTAAAATCACTATCGCCAATACGTTCATAATATCAATGACAATTACCTTCGCACTCCTCATGAAGACCAACTTTAAATCCTGGTGGGCATCGATCTTCGACGTGAGTCCGAGGAGATGTGCTCAGGTTTTCAGGATTTCCAGTCACTCCACCACAGCTGTAACCTCCTATTGTGTTCTCACATACGTATTTAGGGCATGGCGGGTTCGGGAGAAGACACTCATTTATATCTGTAATAAAGATACACTTATTTGAAGTTTTTGTTGAATGTTTGAGTAAAGTATTATTGTATTTTCGTCATTAGTAAGTTCTCAATAACAGCACTGTGGAACTAATTGAAAAAGAGTGACCTTGGAGTTTCTTGCTCGTTCCTCTGCATAGAAACCTATACTTTGGAACGAGAAAATAGCTTCACTAGAAGACAGACCGACAGACTGACTCATATAAAGTTAAGCTTTTTATTATATTGTTTGACGTTCAAAAGTGCCTGTATAGTGGTCTATTTGAAATAAAGGTTAATTAACTTTGAGTATGTTTTTTTTATCAAACTGTGGGTGATGTGAAAAGCTAATATTATCTAGGAAAATTGTATTTATCGGTTTTCTTCGATCTTCGCACTTTTTCTCTTTTAATCGTTCCAAATAGTTCTTAACTATATTTATGGAGCTAGAGAGTTAAAGAAATTTCCAGACTTCTTTACGAAGACATAAGCGAAATGGGTCTACTAGGGGGTACTAATGGTTAGACCCATTTGGGTCTACTTATAAAAGCAATGCTCATACTTCATTAATTTTATTAGCAGCAAAACTCCTTAAATCAGAATCTGACCATTTTGATTGAGAACCAAATTCCTTCTTACCATCACAGACATTATTGTTGAGGTTTCTAGCAAAACCAGGTGGACATTGTCCCTTCTCAGCATTGTTCTTCTTGCCAGAGATACACCTGTAGGAGCCCTGAAGGTTCTGGCAATGGGTGCCGGCTAGACAGACTGGCACGTCCAGTTGGCACTCGTCTATGTCTGAAAGAAGAATAAGTGCTATTGCAGTTTGATTCTGTTAAGAATTTATGAAATGATTTGGAATAAGCCCGTGCTTGTTGGAAAAGCCGGAAAAAGTGTTGTAGCAACTGAACCATTTTTTAAAATACATTAGTCTTACTTTGTAATTGAATAAAATACAGAATGTGTTTATGTGTGGGAGAGCCATGCCTCGACACAAATGGGTCGGCACGACCAGAGTGATACCACGGCCTTAGAGAAAACCGGCGTGAAACAACCACAGCGTTGTGTTTCACCGTGTGAATGATGTTATCGGAGACTCAATCCCTTCCCCTCACCCTTCCCAATTCTTAAATATCCAAACCCTTATCCCCAAATGGCTGGCAACGCACTCGTTACTCCTTTCGTGTTGAAGATGTCCATGGGTGGCGCCCGCTTGCTTACCATCAGGTTATGCGTCTTCTCGTTTGCCAATATAAAAAAAAAATACGCAATGTAAACAATATGAACATTTTTTTATGACATAAACAGCGATCGTAAATTGTTGAAGCAGATTCTTTGATCGAGTACTGAGGTAGTGTCATCGTCGATCAGTGTAATTTGACTTGAGAAGTGCTGCGTTACGGACTGTTAATGTTAATCTGCTTCAACAGTTTACGATCGCTGTTTGTCCTCTTCTTTCACTCTTACCTTGACATGAGGTTCCATCAGGCATCAGCTCGTATCCTCTTCTGCAGGAGCATTTCACTTCGACCCCATTATCGTTGCACTTGTGCTGGCAGGGGTTATGGGGCTTACATCTGTTCTTAGTCACCTGGAAATATAGTGTTTCGATTTATTTATTTAATTGCACTTAGAACGCCATGTCGGACAATGGTGACCGACGCTAGCGGAGGGTTAGCCTTCAACAGTTTTTGTCGGCAGTCAAACGCTTAACAAATATGTAGTTGGCTCTTAAACATCACTACATAGTATAAAACAAAGCTGCTTTCTCAGTTCCTATTAAGCTTAAATCTTTGAAACTACGCAACAGATATTGATGCAATTTTTTAACAGACAGTGTTATTGAAGAGGAAGGTTCGTATGTTTATTAACAAGCATTAAGTTGTAGACAAATTAGTATCAAAATTGCACCTTGTAGCTAGTTTACGATAAAATAAGTTGTAATAATTCAAATCTTTGATAAAATATAAAGTAGTCAGAATATGCAAATAAAAGTTTGTTTTTCTATAATTTGAATATTGAATCTATTGTTAAGTATTTTATTATTAATTTGTAAGTAGCGAGCCCGATATCTATAGAAGGATCTTAAAAAAAAATTCTATAGATTTAAGCAACCAGCCTCACTCACATGGCGAAACACAACGTAAGTCTTGTTTCATCCCGGTATTCTGTGAGGCTATGGTACATTTTGTTCGAGCTGAAGTATGGCTCACATTGAAATTTTACATTTGTCAATTTCAAGCTATACCTACCTCTTTACAGTTTCTTCCATCAGCCATCAACATGAACCCAGGGTTGCATTCACATTTGTACGACCCTGGCACTGGTATGCAATGGTGAGCGCATAACTCGTTTGGAGCGTAGTCTTCACAAAGTGATGGTAGCGCTGAAACAAGTAATGAGTTTGTTAATATATTTACCTCGTTTAACTTCGTCACTGAGAAGGGCTCCAAACTAATAATTAAACTATTCATAATTACTTATGAAATCTTGGGTTATTTTGACACCACTGGCGTACGGTGAGAGACAATATCCACTAATTTTTTGTAACGAAAATCATCAAATGACTTCTTCCAAACAAAGTGGGGCGAGAGGGAGTGTCAGACTCTCACTGACTAAAAACCCCCGCGTTCCTTCTCTTGCTCTAGGCCGAGGCCGCAGTGCCTTATTGCGCTTACCCCGGTTCCCGAGCCATCATGCTATCCTAAGGTAACCTGGACTTACCTTCCTTCGCGCTTTGAGCAAGCATGGTGATTCATTCAGTCATTTCTTCTTCGTATGAAAAGAGGCTTTTGAAGAACAATTCATATACCTAGTCCAAGAGCTCCTGAACCCATAAATGCCCACTGCATAGTGTTTTGCCGTATTCAAAAATCCGATTCCGAATAAAATACATGTCGCATGCTCGCTTGCCGGCTTATTAAATGCTAGCTACTCTCGCGCGGTTTCACCCATTTGATCGTAGCGTAATGTTTTATATTCATATTATAGCCTATAGCACTTAGGAACGTTGTAGTTATCTATCAGTGAAAGAATTTTGACAATTCGACCAGAGCTATTCCAAAGATTACCCCCCTACATACAAACTTACAAATTTTACCGCTTCATAGGTAATATTAGTATAGACTATAGATTATATACTTACTAGATAGTGTAATAGAGTTTGAACTTCTTGAAGATGAGTCACCTTTCCAGTCTTTAGCCGCTTTCTGTAATAGAAAAAATATATTAGGTTAATTGCTTTTACGTTTGATTGGTAACTTGATTAATAGATTCTTCACTAAGGGACTGACCAACAGATTCAACTATACCTAAATATTTTAATTGTTTTGGTTTGACGTTCTAAAGTGCCTGTGTAATCTGAATGAAATAATTGATTTGATTTTGACTTTGACTAAAAGAAGTGTACAATGTGAAGTCTTATCACACAGGGAACCGATAAGGAGTGGAATTCTTCTTCGAGTCTACTTTCCCCGAAGGGTGCCTGGATGTCTTCAAGGCCCTAATAAATAGGTTGCTTATAGGTAGGCATGCTCCATCATAGGTAGCATCATTGCTAATCACCAGGCGTAATAGCCGACCAATTGCCTATTTATCAACTAATAATAATAAAAAACACAGGACAATTTCTTCCAGATAACTTCATCTGGTACCTCTTCTGGAAATTTCAAAGAAACCTAGAAATGAGCAGTCTGGCGAACAATTTGTAAGTAAAAACATCCATTACAATATCAACACATATTTCAATAAACCCAAGGACAGAAGCAAATGGTTGCAAGGCCGCGGTTCTAGACCCGTATCAGGTCAAATATTTACTGTTCAAATAGTGTTTCTACTGATATCGGGCCAAACTGTCTGGTATACTAGATAAACAGCGTTTTTTTACAGGATTCATATTTCTATTTATTTCATAGGTCTGCAATGGTAAGCAGTCAGCGCTGCCCATGGACACTCGTAGTACCAAAACAGTCACCAGAAGTTCGTTGCCGGCTTCTTGTGATTTATTAGGGATTTAAGGATAGTGGATTTGAGGATTGAGGATGGAAGAATTGCGCTTACGGTAAATAAATAAATTTATTGAAAATAAGGACTTGCTCACCTAAATTAATTGAGAAAAGCTCAACTAGTTTCGAGTCACAACGGGACTCTTATTCATGAGCAGCATGCGTTTTGCGGGGACAGCGCGCAGTCGTCCGATTGAGTTGACGACTGTGACTTAAAACTAGAGATAACCTATTACAATTAGTTAGACTAGCAGAATGTCGGTCCTTGTGTCAGCTTGGAGTTGTCGTGTTCACTCTAAGGCGGTGGCACGGTCACTGGATCGCAGGATTCCCTATATTATGGTTGAGTTGGGCGATGCTGGTGTACGTGTCATGTTCGTGAACGGGCGCCGTCAATTGGGACTGGTCAGCTCCGGACTGTCTATTGTCCTTAAGGTTATTTTCTTTTTATGTTTCTCTGTATACACGCGTTACACTGTTCTCGCAAAATCAAACCAACTAAATAATGTATCAAAGAATCTTTATGTGACACTGATTTAAAAAGAGTAACCATGGAGTTCTTCTCCACTTTGGAATCTACACTTTGGAACAAGTGCTTCACTAAGAGGACTGACCGATAGACTGACACTATATCTTCAAAATTTTGTTTGACGTTCAAAAGTGCCTGTATGGGTCTAATTGAAATAAATGATTTTGACTTTTGACTTTTCTCAGGTGATTCACGTGAGTAAGTCGTTGCTTCAACAAATTTATATGACGTTGCATTCCATGCTTTTCCGCTTTCATGCCATTACAAATATGGTACCTACTGACAAATAGGGTAGGGTGGAACATGTAGGTAGAGGTAGGGTAGGGTAAAACTGGAGCGAAGCTGCAGGTAATAGCGAGTTGCGACGAATGCTTTGGCGATACCCGCCCCTCCAACACATGCGTAAATGAGATACACTGGGTTGGTTTTTAGTCAGTAAGAGTCTGAAAGTACCTTTCGCCCTTCCCCGAGGGCGGTGGGTCTCCATGAAGATTTTCCAAACTAATCCCAAAAAACAGGTAATGACTAGTTGATAGTATAACAATAAAAATGATGTTTTTTTTTACCTTACAACAAGTAATAAATGCGTCTTCAGCTAGTAATTCCTCAGCATTCATGCCATGTTTCCTCTCTTTGCAAGCCTCTGGGCCCTTTGTAGAGCCCTCCGTCGTCCCTCTTGAACAGTCGTTGCAGCATATCTGTAATTATAGATTTTATATGTATAAGACTAGATCTTTATTTTTTCAGAAGCGGTAATCGATATGTGTAGAAATCGTTTTTTATTGTTTTTTTAACTTTTTTATTCCTTCCTATTCTCTAAAAAAGTGTATTTTTTTAACAACAAAAATCATCATCAAAAAAGTCACAAAACCACCTAAATAAAGGTAGCCACTTAAGTCATAACAATCCTTGAAAAAAACCCAAAACTGAGACCTCTACCAAGTTCCACAGGAAACCGGTGTAAAGATACGACCAGTTAAACTAACAAGGAAGGGTTATTATAAGTCACGTTAACTGTACAAACATTTAAACATCTGCAGTTATCAGTTAGATAACGGGTACCCAGTTACCTAGTTACCGTGTGTTTGAATTAAACCTTTGGTATAGTTAAAGATATGCTAAAGATTATATATTAGGTACGCATATTTTATCCTGTGGGTAAAATGTCAGGTTTGGCCATAACCGTTGAATGACTGCTGATAAGACATTCGTATAAAAATTGAAATATTTACAAGGAACATCGGGAAATATCCACCGAGCGCATCAAAAATATTAAAGAGCCAGAAGCCTATTATGATAGCATAAAAGCAGTTATTTTTCTGATTTTGCCATTAATAATATAAAAATAGTTATAAAATAGTTATAGTTATAAAGTTAATATACCTTGTCCGTTTTCGAAAAAGTATACCTACATTGCTTATGATAACAATCCAGATATTATTGCTTATAACAAGAAACGTTAATGGAAATATTAAACATAAAAATATGTAATTTTAAGGCTATAGCTTTTTATATGTTACAAAACTCAAAACAACTATGCAATTGCTCAGTGATATAGGTACAATGGTTATTTTAAAGACAACTTCAAATCGAAGACTGGAGAAAAATTAAGACTGGTCATCAAAATTATTTTAGCGAGTTTGGCCTGCCACTTGACCACCATAGATGGTGCTCACTAGGGCTGATGTTCAGCCGGGTACAACCACAATAATGTAGACCCCGGTCTGGACCAGGAATGGAGTGGTTTTCAGCCATTAAGAGACTGACACTGCCCACTGCCTCTCACCAGGGTGGAGAAGCTATTTAGCTTAAGCTTTAAGTGTGGGAGAGCCATGCTTCGGCACGAATGGGTCGGCTCGACCGGAGTGGTACCACGGCCTCACAGAAAACCGGCGTGTAACAACCACAGCGTTGTATTTCGCCGTGTAAGCGAGGATACCGCAGGCCCAATCCTTCCCCTCCCCAAATCCCTCTTCAATCCCTAAATCTCCAAATCCCTAATCCTTAAACGGTCGGCAACGCACTCGTAACTCCTCTGTTGCGGATGTCTATAGGCGGCGCTGATTGCTGACCATCAGGTAATCCGTGTGCTCGTTTGCCGACCTATTACATAAAAATAAAAATAAATATTGATTAACTAAACCTGCTTAACAAAGCCCATGTCACATTAGTAGTCCACCGTTAGCTTAGAGCATGTTCTATTTTTTTATTTTGAAATGTTTCTTTTTTATATCTTAAATAGTTTTGGAAAAAGAATGTTATTACAAACCTTACTAATCGATTTAGTATTGTCACAACTGTAGGTGCTGGTCGCTATATCGATACCTGTCTCACAGTCACTCTGTTTTCTGTAACAAAAAAAAAAACATAATGTACCTACTTAAATAATATTTCTAAACTTGCATAAAATTCTAAGTCAAACGATTTTTTCGCAAATGAATACAGTTGTATTAATGATGTTATACCTAAAAAGTTAGTAGGTTCAGTATTCAGTCCTAAGATACTGACATGCACATTTTTGATCATAAATTTATAATATTAACGGTAAGCAGTTTTGATTTTCACAGAGTAACTGAGGTTACAGGATTCTCTATCCTCCTACAATTCCACAATACGTGAATCCTGAAATCTCTTATCCTTATAAAGCCGTAAAAAGCACTTTTAACTCCTAAAATCTTGTGAGTGCCCATCGGAGACGTCGATTGCCTACTATCAAGTGATCCAGACATAAAAAAATACCTTAATCGTGAAGAATATAAAGAAACTTAACAACTCCTTAGACTTAACTCAAAACAAACTTCATAAAATTCCGAGTATTATCATCGACATTAAGAATACTATTAAATGTCTTGATCGGCTGGAGGTTAAGGCGCTTCTAATGACAAGTACAAATTTTTCATATGTACTTGAGAAGCCTTCTTTGGAGGGGGAAAAATCGTCAAATAACTCCACTTGCCCAGGGTGACGCGAGAGAGAGTATCATAGATTCTTACTGACTAAAAACCCCCCCGTTCCTTCTCCTGCTCTGGGCAGAGGTCGCGGTGCCTCGTTGCGCTTACCCCGCAACCACGGCTGAACATCAAGAAAAGAAAGAAAAAGATAGAAAGAAACATTTATTTCTGCGCAAGCGCACACACATAAAAATCAAAAATACCAAAAAAAAAAGGAAAAAGAAAAACTATACCAATTATATAAACAAAACGATAAAATAATGTAACTGTTAACTAAAATAAAATTATAAACAAAAAGCACAAAAAATAAAGAGTAAATAGTAGGTAAACTTTTATCTATCTATGGTCGACAGAGTATGACATTATGCGCGAGGTCGCTTGTAACATCAGCCCTGTAGGGCCCCGTCTGTGGTGGTCTAATGGCTCTTTAAGGCGCGCGCAGAACGCTACGCGCCGCACTCTGTACTTGGAAACATGGACTTACTACTAATTTCTAATGGAAGAAGAAGTTTAAAATCTCCAATCCGCCTTAAGCAAGCGTGGTGATTAATAACTAATCTCTCGTGACAAAAAAGGTCTGTGTTCAGCAGTGGGCACTTACAGGTTAATGATGTGATGATGTGATCAATTAACAATATTATTAGCAAACATTAAACACATTGAGGTAAACATAACTACAACTATTTTCCTTAAAATATAGTTCAAGGTTGCCAAGACAATTATAATATACTCAAACCTTGTGGCTACCTCATTGCGATAAGAAGTTATTCTAGTCAGAAGATTACAAATATTTGCTTAAGTAGCCAAAGAGATACATTGTTGCAAGTTAACCGAAGCGGCGTAGTGATGTGGATTTTGTTGTGTGGCACCAGCTCGACCCTAATGATTCCACTGCCCTGCTTATTTTTGTGAGGGGAAAGTCATCACATCGCTTCTCCCGCCCAGGGTGAGGCGAGAGGGAGAGGCTCTTACTGATTAAAAACCCGCCTTTCCTTGTCCTGCTCAAGGCCGAGGCCACGTAATCATATTGCGCATGACCCCCTACCCCGGCTGAACTTTGTGAGGCGGAGGACCTTATGACCAGGAGACAGGCATGTGATGCTTTAACCTTCCAATTCCTTAAATGAGGTGAGGAACTAGATAATTTGACATTTCATATTTTTTTAAAGGTAAATTTTCAATTTTTGGTCTAACGATAAATCTATTTCAAATATGTCGTACTTTTTCGGCATATTGGTCGGCAATTTTCTTTGTTACCTGCGAAAAATATCTTATATATTTTGTAAGAAATCTTTCCCAAATGAGCACGTCAAGAATCTTATAAGTAACATTCAATGAACAAGCTAGCAACCATTTCCTTATTTGTATATTTTGTTTATAAACTCTAAGAATAATTTTAACTACTACGTACTAAAGGAACGACAATGTAATTTTGTAACTGTGTATCATTCAAGAGCTAGTATGCCATCGAGTGAGGATTCTCACTGAACTTCAGAACATAAGGTTCCGAGGCTCCCGAGGGAGCTGATTAATTTATATATATAGGATTCGTTCGTCACTTTTTCAGATAAACTACTTTTTTATCTTTAGGTCGGCCAACGAGCCGGCGGATTACCTGATGGTAAGCCACAACAGAGAGACAACTCCGCAGCAACAGAGGAGTTACGAGTGCGTTGTCGACCTTTTAGGGATTAAGGATTTGGAGATTTAGAGAGTAGGGAGGGATTGGGAGAGGAGAAAGATTGGGCCTTCAGTAACCTCACTCACATGGCACAACACTGTGGTTGTTTCACACCAGTTTTGCTGTGAAGGCGTAGTATCACTCCGATCGAGTCGACCCATTCGTGCAAAAGCATGGCTCTCCCACACTTCAAAATGTATCTTTTAAGTTGGATCTATTATAAAATAATTCTAACCTTTTTTCTTACAAACATTCAAAATGATATCGACATTTTGCTTAAACATAGTATTTTCCATAGCAAAACTTGTTATTCGCATTAAAACTCTACTTTTATTTTTCCTCATTATGTTTCTAAGTATTAATTAAAATAAAATAATATTCTGAAAAAAACAAATGTAGGTTATATTACGTATATTCAATGGCTAAATTGTTATAGTTATTTATAGTTTTCTCACTAAAAATATACTTAACAAGGAATAAAAACATAATGATAACAGTGATTAAGAATTCAACGAAGTCTTAATTACTTTTGGTAATTACTTATTAATAAATAACAACACTACATTATCGTGTTACTTTTAGAAAACATATTAGACCTCCCAAAATGTAAAATCCATTCAATGATTAATGTGTGATAACGCGTAAATTCCATTATATCAATACAATAATATAATTTGTCGGAAATATTGTTAACATGAATGCCAAGTTCAACTCTGGGGTCAAATAATGTAAATATCCAATTTTTATCTGCAATTATCGAGTTTGGGTTATTTTTAGTCTTATTCGGCTGAGTACAGTCAAAATGAAACAGGCAAATTCCAAAATGGTTGAAGAGATTCAAACCTCATCGCTTGACATTTAAAAAAAAGAAAGAAATAAAGAAATGATGAACGAAAAACAGAATGAAATAAGAAATAAAGAAAAAACCAAATAAAAAGACAAAGAAGAGATCTGCCACGTACTAAATTGAACGCGTAATTAAAAAGGTATATAACAACGTGGTACAAAAGAGAAAGCCTTGTGTTGGACCAGCCCTTAGACCCAGGGTCTTACCAAAAGACTGGCTAATAGACCAATTAAGACCCGGTGATAATTTAAATGCAAAAAACTAATACTTACTTGAAATATTCCTTGCAGCATTGTGCTTTCGCCAGGAGACACATGGATCCAAAGGCAGATGGAATCTCAGGTGGAACTGTCAGCGTTCCCTGACAGTCGCTGAGGGTATGATTCCAGGCGTACACTGCCCCCTCATTGCAGCATATCTGGATGGTCTCCGCCATATCATCTCCAAGGTATCCTGGAATACAGTGAAAACGAAGATAAATGCAAAAATTTATTAGATTGGAGCGGCCAGGCTGAACCTGCTGGTAAAGTGCAGCAGAGCCTATAATCAGAGGAGTTACAGATACATTGTTTGCTTGGCAAAGCTAAGGTCGGGTTTAAAGTCGTCTAGTAATCTCACCCGGGCTTACAGCGTGTAGCGTTACGCACGACGGGGTACAACCCAGAGCGATACCAATGGCTTCAAATGAAACCGGCGTGGAATAATCACAGCGTTGTGTTTCGCCGTTCGAGTGAGGTTATCGAAGACCCAAAGTCAAAATAATTTCCAACTAAACCATAAATAGGTACTTTTAAAAAGTCAACATAGATTAGTAGTCTATAAGTCTTTTTAATCCTTCTTACCCTTCCTCCATCCCTGCCTAATCGCTAAATCTGAAAATTTCGTCTAGTCTATGGACGACACCGATTGCTTACAGTCCGTCTGTTCGTTTGCTGACCTATCAACTACACTAAATTAGTTCTTGCACTCTATAACCCATATGTCCATCAAAATTTGTTTCATCAAAACATTTATTTTTATTTATGTAATAGGTCGGCAAACGAGCAGACGGATTACCTGATGGTAAGCAATCAGCGCCGCCCATGGACACTCGCAACGGTGGAGTTACGAGTGCGTTGCCGACCTTTCAGGGATTAGGGATTTGGAGATATAGGGATTGAGGAGGGATTGGGGAAGGGGAAGGATTGGGCCTCCGGTAACCTCACTCACACGGCGAAACACAACGCAGTGGTTATTTCACGCCGGTTTTCTGTGAGGCCGTGGTATCACTCCGGTTGAGCCGACCCATTCGTGCCGAAGCATGGCTCTCCCACACTTAATACATCACATTTCACTCAACATCGGACACCAACCCACTTACTAAACCAAAAAGGTAATATTTCTAAAAAGCAATACATCATGAAGATTAAAAAATAGAATTACAATAAGCGACCTCGTAACAGTTCTGCGATGCCCACGCGCATAAATGTTGTAAATTATAAAACACATCAATTCATAATAATAATTACACATGTCATTTTGTCCGTTTGTGTGTTTCATCGCGATATTATGCCGTAACAACTTATGTCTCTAGGAGTTTGATTCCTGAGCGATGAAAAATAAACATAACTGGTTGACTGACACAGTGTCTGGGCAGCCGGCTGGCTCCTGACAAAGTACCATAGGTTCAATTCACGAATGAATCAAGTTCGATCCAGTCATTCTTCTTTCTGTGCTGAGTGTAATAAAATAGTTTCGGGATGCAAATACAATCAAGGCTACTTTGAAGGGGTTGAGGGAAGAAAATCATCAAATGTCTTGGTCTTCAGAGAGGATTAAGTGTCAGTCTCTCACTGACCAAAAATCATCCCATTCCTTCTTCGCAAAACCGCTGTACCTTATTAAGCTTAACCTAAAACCTCGGCTGAAATCTCTGATTATTATAATAGGGTTCCCAGATGCAAATTTTAGAGCGGATCATCACTTAGTTTCCACAAAGAAACGACTAATTATTATAATTACAAAGTTTTATTTTAAGACTCACTGAACAATCTCAATATTTTTCCAAAATTGTTCCATTTTATAATCTCTTCTGATTTATAACGTTTTAGATAAAGACGTGTGCATGTATGCGCGTGCGCATATCTTAACGTTTTTCTATGAATATAACCTTAATCGTTTTGACATGATTTGGTTGGATAAGTCCGATTCCCGCGTCAAGCGTTAATTTATGTAACCTACAGATTTACAAAATTTAAGGATAATTTTCGATTTTGTTTTCGGGGTACCTCAAGCGCAGTAATGTACCACGTGATACCCAAGCGTACGGCGCGCAGCGATCCGCGCGACCGGTCCTTTTTTTTTGTCAGGGAAAATCATCTAATGACTTCTCCCGCCCAGGGTAAGGCGAGAGAGAGTGTAAGACTCTTACTGACTAAAAACCCCCCGTTCCTTCTCCTGCTCTGGGCCGAGGTCGCAGTGCCTTATTGCGCTTACCCCGCAACCCTGGCTGAACATCACCCCTAAAGGGTCTATGGTGGTCTATTGGCGCTTTGAAGCCTTCCGCCCGGCCCTGGGCGGAAGAAGTCATTTGATGATTTTCTCCTAACAAAAAAAACCCCACAGCAGATGAAAAAACGGCGTAGTTTTTAGTCAGTAACAGCCTGTCACTCTCATTTTGCAGGGAGAAGCCAGAACAGAACAATATCTCTTCAAAAAAAACCTCTGCAATATCTTCAAAGTCCTTATGTAAACGGTCCATTAATAGGTCTGCAGAATTACAAAAATACCTACAGGTTACTGACTGACCCATGGTTAAACAGCTGAAATCGATCATTTCCTTCTTTAACGATGTAGTTACAGTACTAAGTAATCGGTGACTTATTCTTTACTGCAAAAGGAGTTTTATTTTCTCATGTATGCTATGTATGTAAGTCTCTTCTGCAAGAACTTCTAAACGTCTAAATCAAATTTCATCACCGAAGAAATGAGCAATAATCACCATGATTGCTCAAAGCGCATTGCCGATATATAGCAACCCACCCGATTGAACCCGGGTGAAGTGTGGGAGAGCCATGCTTTGGCACGAATTGGTCAGCTCGACTAGAGTGTTACCACGGCCTCACAGAAAACCGGCGTGAAACAACCACAGCGTTGTGTTTCGCCGTGTGAGTGAGGTTACCGGAGGCCCAATTCTTCCCCTCCCCCAATTCCTCAATTCCTCCCCAATCCTAATTCCTTCCAAATCCCTTATCTCTAAAAAAAGGTCGGCAACGCACTCGTAACTAATCCGTTGGGGTGTCCATGAGCGGCGCTGATTGCTTACTAGCAGGTAATCCGTCTGATCGTTTGCCGACCTTTTTTACAATAAGAAAATTTTCCTCCACAATTGAGTGGATGACATTATTATACATATAAAACTTCCTCTTCGACTACTCTATCTATTGAAAAAAGCCGTATTAAAGTCCTTCGCGTGGTTTTTAATATTTACGCTTTAATAGCGATATAGTGACAAATCAAGCTACTTTTGTTTATACTATGATAGAAAATATATGTCCAGGTTTCTTCAAATCACATCATTTATTTGCATAATGTAGGTAAAAAAAAAAACATTGCGAGATAAAAGATCTCGCAATGTTTTTTTCTAAATCGACCGTATGTTGTCAGTGCGGTCTAAATAAGCTTAGAAGCACAAATAACTCGGAAAGAGTGACTTACTTGGTACTTGGCTGGTTTGAAACTCGAGCCATCACGAAAGAATGAATGAACACAATTTTGTAAAGATAAAAAGAAAAACCAGTGTCGCATGTCAAGGTCACGTGGAATGACCATGTTTTCTGGATACCTGAGTAAGAACAGTATTGTTAGACATTTTGTACAAGTATCTAGTTTGGGACCTGTCATTAAGTCCGTTTTATGACAAAAGGATATGAGTGGGAAGTTGTGGGAGAGCCAAGCTTCGGCACGAATGGGTCGGTTTAGCCAGAGTTATACCACGGCCTCGTAGAAAACCGGTGTGAAAATAACCACAGCGTTGTGTTTTGTCAAATGAGTAAGGCCACCGAAGAGCCAGTCCTTCCATTCCTACGGTCCTTCCTCAATTCCTAAATCTCCAAATCCTTAATCCTCAAAAGGTCAGCAACGAACTAGTTCTCCTTTAGTTGCTCATTCGTGCAGCTGAAAGCTTACCATCAGGTAATCCATTTACTCGTTTGCCAAATATCACATAAAACATTTTAAAAATCGGCTCTTAAAGATCACATTTCCACATTCGTGCATTAATTTGTCTTGTACGACATTAAAGTTATTTCTGTTCAAAATAAACAAACCGCTGGCGATAAACAATATGTTCCCAATGTCCGAAGTAAGTGGGTCACCAGCTTCTCACCATATGTTAAGTAGGAGGAAAAATACGGTCAAGTGCGAGACGAAGTAAATATTGCAGTGACTGTGTATTTATTTGGGTCACACCGGTTAATTTTGGGGCCTAACCAAGTTGATTCATCAAAATCGTTAACACTATAGAAAACGAAATAATTTTATGGGCACTCTTAATCGATTACACTTACACTAATATAACAAAGCTGAAGTTAGAGTAAGTTTGCTTGAACGCGCTTATCTCCGAAATTACTGGTTCGAATTGATAAAATCTTTTTGTGTTGGATAATCGCTTTTTAGAGGAAGGCCATAGGCTACAAGAGTACATATACCATCATAGTGGCCCAAAGGTTCGAAACCTGGCAAGTACCAACATAACTTTTTCCGAGTATGTCCTTTCTAAGTTTATTTACACGTCATAGCCATACGGTGAAGAAAGATAGCATGATTACCTCACCGATTTTAAGTCTGGGAAGACACCGTGATAGCCTAGATTAACAATTATTTTTAAAAATTGAGAGAGTCTGTCTATTGGTTACTGCTGAAATCTTCTCCATTTGAGAAGAGGCTTTTGCTCGGTAGTGGGCACTTATAGGCTGAAGATGTGGTGTTTAGGCTCCAAAACAACACGTGACGGCCAAAAGGAACTCAGAAGCGGTTAAAACTGCGCGAGAGTAGCTAGTATTTGTTTTTCTACAACGATTAACAGGTTACTTTGCTTCCGTGCAGTGCATCGTAGCTTCATATTACTGCACGAATAAAATGAAAATTTTTGGAGTGACCTACAAATTGTCCAGCATCTGCGTGTAAGATGTATTGTAAAATGTATATAAAGTTTTTTTATACATTGTCTTGTTGTGTTGACCAGAGGTCTAATCCATGTCCTCCTCCTACCATATCCCCCAATAATCCACTTCCCCTAATCCTCAAAACATTAACTGTTACAGGCTGGCACATTCTCATTATCAACTAAAAAAAAAACTGGCAAACAGCAGTCCCTGAGCCCGTTACCGACCCTAACCTAGTTCGGAACAGACAGACGAAAGTGGCCAGTAAATTAACACTACTAGTATTCGCTCTTTTCGCTAATTTCTAGT